TTAACTCGACGAAAAATGAAAATGCAAGAAATACAAATACAAATTACTTTATTCGACCAGTACAGAACTTCTGCAGTTCTTTATTAGCTCGATGAAAAATGAAAATACTAGAAATACAAATTACTTTATTCGATCGTCTCCGACAAGTTTGGGTGCTGAGTGGGTGCGCATTGTCTTCAAGAGCTTGTTGATGGAATAGGGATTGGTTCAACCAAGAGTGAAACCATATATGTCTTGGTGTCACTATCTGGAGCACCAAAACCATCACCAAATTGGTAAAAGCTGAAACCAATCCGAGCAAGATTCATAGCAATTGCCTGAAAATTCTCTATGGGCTTATCCATAAATAGTATTTCGTTGTTCATCTTCTTCAACAGATCATCAATCAGATCTTTCTTGATGTGCTCGCGCGCGTCCTCTTCAGAACAGCCTGTTTCGTGCATGTAACACTGGATATATTTCGGAACATCCCCTCGTTTTATTTCAGCCTGTAAATCAATTTTCATTAGTCAAACCAAAAAATTATAAATATATTAGTGATTAATTAGTTTTCATTAGTGGTTTAATTTTGGAAACGTACAGAAGAAGTGCCCAAGTCGTCTGCTAGGCGAAGAACGGTGGCCGGCCAACGAATAATTCCAGGGTATTGCTCTAAAAAGTGCAGGTCCTTGGTGTTAATGGGATTTGTTATGCAAAAGTAACCATGGAAAAGAAGCAGAGGGCCTGTAATCGAAACCCAGGCTAAGTTGATGTACTCGTTCGTGCTCGGGCGATACCCACTATGGAACCATTGTGCTTCTTTGTAGTAAGCTCTACACAGTTCCGCCCACTGTACATAATCATTACATGCATGTAAGAAGATGATCAGAAGAAGAAACGAAAAAACGAAAAAGAAAACGAACCGAATTATTTGCATATATATACCAATTTTCTCAGTTTTGAGACGATGATGAGACCTTGGTCCCTGAGAACTTTGTAAGCCAATTCATTAGCGCAGTTAAACAGAGCTAGGAAGCTGATTCGCATGTATTCGGGTAAACGGTCCAATGCGTTAATATCCCACCTGATTATGTAATAATTATATTAATTAATTAAAACTTACTAGGATCTTGGTAATATATAAATACATTGTATTAACCAATTAATTTACCTCTCGACCGTATCGGTGAAAAGCTCGAGTTCATCCATCGTACCGTACACATCGTATATGTCATCTATAATTGTAATCATTACAGCAATCTTGGTCATAAACTCCCTGGGATACCCAAATCGAACCTCGGGTGTAAATCCGACAGCCCATAAGTAACACTCTGGCAATCGGTCCCTGGCAAACCCCAACTTGTCTGCAAGACCGGTTTCTTTATGCCACCTGTAAGGTAATGATATAATTAAAATTGTCACATAATTTCTTCATTTCTGCTAATTTAATTAAAAAACGACGATAAATGAGCACCTCGATAGCTGTTTAATTTCGTCCTGATAAATGCCTTGAACCATGTTGAAGTCCAGTGCAGCCAATTGGAGAAGAATAGGGTCACCATTGTAGATGTTCATAAACCATCTTGCTTCGATTTTATGCACTCTCCAGTGCAGTGGAAGCTCCAATGCATGCCTCACTTTCTCAGCTAGAATCGCATCTTCGATTTGCTTCACCTTTTCAGTTAGATGACGAGTCGAGAATTTTTTGGCAGAATCCAATATTCCCTCACCTTCGACGGATAAAAACGAAGCTTCATACAGAGACAAAACTCCCTTCACATCACCAGAAAAACACTCCATAAAATTTCCTTCCTTGTCCAAGAAACTACCGAAAACCTCTGTATAAAAAAAAATGATTTTAAAAAAAACATAATTTATTGGTGTTATTAAATAAAAAAAAGATATAAAAAATGCACCTTGAGGGACAAGAAATCCATTTTGTCTGAGAAGTCTAAATTTGAGAGATGTAACATGCAAGTGTAGCACGTGTTTGCCGTCATCAAATTCATCACGGTAAATGTCGCCCAAGATCTTTTTGATTGAATCCTCGAAGTGGTCGGATATATGGAACCTCTGCAGATTATCGATAAGTTCAAGTTGCTCTAGCGTATGATTTTCGGTTTCGTCGATGATTATCTGCACCTGTCTTTTCAGCTTCTCAGCTTGCTCGACGTATTTCTTGTCCTGCATTTCCAACAAACAACCGTCAGATATTAAATTTGCGTCTTACGGATGCTCTCATCCAATCGTGAAACGTGTTTGATGAAATTTTCCCATAATTAACGAAACTAGTAATATATATTTATATCATCAAGCAAGAGATAAGTTTTTTTTTTCCTTACCGTGTATGGAGTGGCGAGGGACTGAACGTAATCGTGATCCCAAATGCTCCTTCCGTAGTTTCCGGATCTTCTTGCCTCCTCCATACCGTTTCGGCGCTTACGTCGATTATGAGCTGTTTTTTTTTTCTTTCTGTTGTAAGAAGAAATGAAATATGAGTGCTGATAGAAAAGGTGTACCTTGGATGTTGATATTAGCAAGGTATTTATAGTTGAAGGTTGAATCCATAGTGAAGTGAATAAAGGGATGTCAGATTTACGGAATTGCCATCGGTCTCTATTGGTTTTGATGATGGGATTAATTAAATTGGTTCAATGTTGTTGCACTATTAGGAATTATGTAATATAAATAGTTTATAGACAAGAGGGTTATTATTTTTGTCCACTAGGTTTCACATGTGAGATATTTACTCCACTTGATTTCAAAAGTATGATTTAATTATGTAACTTGCAAAAGAAAATCAGATTTTTGGCCATTTGACATATTATATATAGGTAAAAAGCATAAAACTTCGTGTGAAAGAAAACATGCGCCAAACTCCCCTCTTGTATTTTATTTTATTTTGCATGAAATCCTCTTTTTCATTAAATGTTAACGCTTAACTACAAAGGAGATTATATGCAATTTTTTTCATAATATGGGGTTTAAGGCATATCTTCTACAATACAAGGAAGTTTTATGCAAAATTAATTTATTCGTTTAATTTCATATTACTTTCTTAAATTAAGTCGAGCACATTTATTCGGTTACAATAGGGAAAATAGAAATTAATAGGTGTGGTGATTTTTTTTTAAAATCAATTTTTATATGATATAATTTATTAGAATTATTATATATTTTTATAATTTATTGTGGATTAATTATATGTGAAAAAAAACATGAATATTTGAGAATTCGTTCCACTTTCTATCTCGAATATTTTTTTTAGTTTTTCATATTTTAAATTAATAGATGTATGCTACTTTATTTAAAAAAATAATTTGAATTTTAAATGAATTTAATTAATTTTGCATAGGCCCCTCTGTGTTGCGAAACCATGCACAAAATCCTCCTATGTTATAAAAAACTTGCATAAAATCCCTTCTATAGTTCACGGAGTTAACTTTTAATGGAAAATGGGATTTTGTACAAAATAAAATGAAACACAACGGGATTTAACGCAAGAAAAAAACCACAGAGAAATTTAGCGCATATTTTTCTTAACACGTATGGCTTTTATACTTTTTACTATAATCATATATAGTAGGTAGTCGTATGATGTAGATCTTCTGGTAAATCTAACATAGAAAGAAAGAATTATGCAACATATATAATTGAAACACATTGATTATATAATACTAGAAAGAAAAAAAATCATTCATATTTTGAAATGAAATTATAATCAATCACAAAATTTATAAAAAAATATTTTCAAATTAGATAACTATTATAATTTAACAAAAAATATGAAATTTTCAACAAATTATTTTCAGAAATCTCAATTATGTAAATTCGACGCAATATTCCAACAAATATTGGTAAAATTATATATATGATGATTTCAGAGTATTTTTAGAAGTGTGTATCTGGATGCTAGAGCTAACGAAATACACTGAATATATTTGCACACTTGATCTACGTATATATATGATGTGGAAACACTTGATAAATTATTTTTATGTTACGGCCGATGAAGATTACATCGGATTATTTTTCGTTGTTGATCTATTCTACACACACCAATATGAATACAAATGTGTGTTTGTGTATATGAAAAATAATGATTTACCCGGTATATTTCATCCACTGTAACATGCTATAAAATTTGATAATACACCAACAAATCACAATAGTCGGTGGTGAAATGTTTGCCTTCTTTTTCTCTTATTTTGTACAAGTCATGGGGAAGCGATTGTAGTAATTTAGTGATCATATTCTAATTCTTTTAATATAAAACATAATATTTATTAATTTTCTTAACAAGTACTTAACAACTTGAGACGAGATATTGGACCGGAGAGAGCACTAAACTAAGCAAGAGGGAAGAACAATTAATGTACAACTTATGGGGTAATTAAGAATTAAGATGGCTCTGAAGTTTCTCTGTCAGCTTCTTATTATGCATGTGCTTAACAATTATTAATCATATTATTAAACTAATGCTTTAGCTTATTATATTCTTATGATTTTTTTACTGATTTTAATTCTCTTGACTTTTTAACCTTGATGGCTTTCTTTCTGATGGCTTCAATCCTTATGGCGTTCACTTATTTTAATTTTTATGAGTTTTATTCTTATGACTAATTGATTTTAATTATTAATCATATTATTCAATTTTAGGTTTTATCCCACTCCTAAAAAATATAAAAATATATCACATATAAACTTTTTAGATATTTAATTATTTCTTGGCTTAACAACCTCTCTCTCTCTCTCTCTCTCTCTCTCTCTCTCTCTCTCTCTCTCTCTCTCTCTCTCTCTCATGCTAGAAACGAGGCTCTCAACGCCCAAAGAAACTGATAATTGTGTACGTTGAATAGATGCCTAACAAACTACAACAAGAAAGATTCCCCTTCTCTTCTCTCTCTTCCTAAAACACAAATTAAAGTGCTCTTCTTGTGAATAACACTCATCATATCATATGTATATATATATCAAACTGCTATATTACATCTATTCTGCAATCCCAAGAAAACTAATTGAGACCGGATTTCACTTAACGAATCCCTCGATATATACATTTTGTTGTGTATGGATGGATACTGCATTCGAAGATTTATGCATAACTGATGAAGACAGAAAAAATTGGAGTAGAATGGATAAGAGGAAGAAAACCGACCAAGAAGACAATGGCGTCGACCGAGAGTTCATATCCAAAAACCTCGAGGCTGAAAGAAGGAGGCGAAAGAAACTCAACGATAGACAGCTCGAGCTCCGCTCCTTAGTCCCGATTATCACAAATGCAGGAAGTCAAAACCCTTTTTTTTTTGGTTTCTTTTTTTAATTATTCTATATTACTTTTATTAATTTTGAAAGTTTAATGATGGATGTATGTAGATGAACAAAGCAACCATAATAACCGATGCAATCGCTTACATTGAAGAGCTGAGAAATTCCGTCGAAGAGCTTACTGACCAAATACTCCAAATGGAGGCCACCGACGAAAACAGAAACACCAAAAATGAAGACATTAATATTAATGACGACGACCACCCGATGAAAATCGCGGTATATATGATAATTAATAAAATACAGTTTAATGATCTTTTCTTAATTATAGTTAATTGTTCTTAATTATCATCACTTGGATCATCAGCAGGAAGTTGAGGTAAACCACATTTGCGGGACGAAGATATGGATAAAGATTATCGTCCAGAAGAAGAGAGGAAGGCTTACTAAACTAATGGAAGCAATTAGTGTGCTTGGATTTCATCTCATTGATATCTGCATTACTACCTCACAACAAGCCATTCTTTTTACTTCATCTGCAGAGGTAAAAATAAATTAAACTATTCGATAAAAAAATATGCATAAATGATGTTTTTATTTCTTGGCTTAACAAATAATTACTTGCAGGGAGTTCATGGTGGAGTGCAGGATGCTGATCAGATAAAAAAGTTCTTGTTGGATATTATAAGGAGCATTTAGAGAAATTAATTATATTCAGTTATTTTATATATACACCAATTGATCTCTGTACCTAATTCAGCACGGTAACCATACTATTACTGTCAACTATAAATTATATTTCAGGAACCAAAATGACAAATTTAATTTTCTATTGAGTAATATTAATTATTATATTTTCATTTTTCCTTCAAAAAAAATATTAATTATCAAAATTGAAAAATAAAACCTAGGGAACCAAATACAAATATAACAGCAATCATTTACAATTAAAAAATTATATATATATATATATATATATATATATATATATATATATATATATATATATATATATATATATATATATATATATATATATATATATATATATATATATATATATATATATATATATATATATTAAAAGTCAGCAAGTCTATGATTAATAGTGACTTGCAATTTCTATAGAATGAGGAAGTTGGAAGACTTCTTTTGTAGGTTGAAAAAGAGTTAAACGAAATTTCAATCTCTCTCTCTCTCCTCTTTTCTCTCTCATGGAAGAAAACAGAGTCACACACTGATCAGAGTGTGTTGAATGGATTGACTAACAAACTCCAACAAACTCCAACAATAATAGATTCCCTCGTGTGAAAAAAATACTCACTAATTCCCCCTTATGTTAACAAAGTCAAGGCATCCGAACCCCTAGAGGCAAATCGTGTCTCTTACTCACGGAACGTGCGATTTTTTATTCTATTTTCAGGGTGAAATGACATAAATATCCATTTATAAGAGGAAAAAAACCAGATTGATTTAATTATAAATAATCTAAATTTATAGGACTAAATTGTAATTTTTAAAATTGTTAAAACAAACAAAAAGAATACAGTAAAAAAAAGGGTAAATAGCACTTAGCCCCCTTGTGGTTTAGACATTTTGCACATGACCCCCTTATGGTATGAATTTAGGCACATAACCCCCTTGTGATTTTTACATTTTGCACATGACCCCCTTATGGTATGAAATTAGGCACATAACCCCCTTGTGGTTTTGAAATTTTGCACATGACCCCCTTATGGTATGAAATTAGCACATAACCCCCTAGAATAGAAAACTGGAAAAGACTAAATTACCCCTATCAAGTCAAAAGTTCTTGTTTTAATTTAAAAATAATTATTTTATAAAATGAAAAGCTTAATGTAATTTTTTTTAAATGAGAAATATAATATATTATTGTGTTTTTTCTATTTTACCACACATGTATTTTTTTTTAAAAAATAATTTTTCATTTCAACTTTAGAGAAATATTTTTTTTAGATTTTTCTAAAAGAATACAAAAAATAAAGACAATGTTAAAGATTTTCAAATTGATTTTTAAAATTAAATAAATTGTCAGTCATACAATAACTAGTATTTTATACCTTTGTGCTGTAAAATTAAAAAAAAAAAGACACAATAATATATTATATTCTCATTTTCCAAAAAAAATACATTAAACTTTTCATTTTATAAAATAATTATTTTTAAATTAAAACAATAATTTTTGACATGACAGGGATAATTTAGTCTTTTTCAGTTTTCTATTCTAGGGGGTTATGTGCTAATTTCGTACCATAAGGGGGTTATGTGAAAAATTTCAAAACCACAAGGGGGTTATGTGCTTAATTCCATACCATAAGGGGGTCATGTGCAAAATATCAAAACCACAAGGGGGTTATGTGCCTAAATTCATACCATAAGGGAGTCATATGCAAAATGTCCAAACCACAAGGGACCCGAAAAAAAAATCTAAAGGAATACATCGTCTTCTTCGTTCTTCCCCAAATTTTTTCCTCCACCGCCTCCTCTTTCCTTCCACCAACCGCCTCCTCCACTCTTCTCGTCGGTGACCGATGTTATTCCCTCTTCGCCTTCATGACTATCTCATCATCCTTCGCCAATTTCTCTTTGTCGCCGCAAAGTTCTTGAAGAACCCCAGCCCTCTGGTATTCGTCGATAATGGAGGATCTTCAGCCCTTGCGTCCTTCAACCACGGTTTTCTGGCGAGAACCACGAATGCGGGGAAGTTTTTTCGACGAGATCTAAGGGTGTGGACTGGTCCAAGGTAAGTTCGACAGGGCAGGCTTTTCCGACCAAATCTTCCGACGAGTTCTAAAGGTGGGGGTTTCGTGCGAAGTAGATTCGAGAGGGACAAATTGAACGGAAACACTTTGATTCCGCCGAGATCTCTCCGCCACCGGAACACAGATTCGTCGTCGCTGCTAATATATATATATAGAGTAAATTGCAAATACCACCCCTGTGTAATACGTAATTGTCAAATACCCCCTGTCAAATACCCCCGTCAAATAAAAATTCACTCATACCCTCCTGTGTAATCAAAGTCAAAGCATTGAGACCCCTGGAATCGAATCGTGTCTCACACGCGCGAGTTGTGCGATTTTTCCTTCACTTTTGCTATGGGAAATGACAGAGTTGCCCCCCACATCTTTTTCTTTTCTTCTTTGTTCGTCATCTTCCTCACGAATCGACCCCCTGCATCAAAAACTCCCAATCCATGGCTGTCGAAACTCCAGCTGTGGATTTGCAGTCACATATGTATATGTGTGTGTTGATAATGGTTACAGGAGCACTATAAGGATTTGCAGTCAAAATCATTCTTTTTGTTGTGTGTTTATAGCTACCATTTTCACTGTTGTTGTAGTGATGGATATGGAGAAGATGGTTGTGGTGTTGTAGCAGGGCAGCACCTGGTTGAGACGGGGCAGAGAAGAAGACCTCTTTTTGTTTTTTTCTCTTTTTTTTTTTTTTTCTTTTAATGATTATTGTTAATTTAATATAAAATATAACAAACAATTACAAAGCATATAAAAATACTAAAAAAAAGCATATAAGAACTTGTAACGTTACAATATATATTTATTTCTTGTTTAATTTTTAATTTTTATTTTTAAGAATTAAAAAAAATGCATAATATTTATAAAATTAAAGTGATTCTAAAATTAGTGTATTATACTTTACTAATTGCTAAAAAACCCCTTAGGGTATCTTTGTCTATTCACCATTAGTCAAAGTCTAAAATCAAAAAGGGTGCAGTGTGCTTCGAAAATGTTAACATAAGGGGGAGTTAGTGCTTTTTTTTTCACAAGGGGATATTTGACAATTAGAGATTATACATGGGTGGTATTTGCAATAAGCTCATACTTTATAGGGTAAAATTTATTTTGCACCCCTGTACTATGAGAAAGGTATCGTTTACCCCCCCTGATGTATGAAAAACATCAAATACCCCCCTACCGTTAACTTTTTTCTTGAATCTGTTAGTCAAACCCTTTGACTGGCCGTTATAAAGACTCGTTGGCTTTTTTTTGACGAAATTACCCCCAATAATCTCTATATAGGTTTTGTTTGATTGGCCAATTTTTTGGATACATTTGTTTTTGCTGGAAAGAATAAGAAACATGTTCAGTTGTTTTTGAAGAATCTAAAATTAAGTTGTTTGGTTACAATCAATATGAAACATAGTTAGTTGGTTTACAAATATGTGGATCTAAGACAAATGAAGAATTCAAGAACAGAAGAAAAAATGGGTAGTGAAAAAAAAACATGTTGAAAAGAGTGAAAAAATGGCTGAATAAGTGGGAAAATTTAGTAAAAAAATGGCTAAAACTAGACAATCTATATATAGTGATTATTGGGGGTAATTTCGTCAAAAAAAAAAAGCCAACGGGTCTTTATAACGGCCAGTCAAAGGGTTTGACTAACGGATTCTTTCCAGTAGGTGTAGTTTGTGCCGTCGAGTACAGGAGGTCGCATAGAAGCAGTCATCTGAGTATCCATCACGAATTCGTTTCTGAAAAAAAATAGGAACAAACACTTAGTATACGTCAAGTGTTGGCTCTGATACCAATTGAAAGAATTTATGGTCCCGAATTCGTATTATACAGAGATGTTATCTTAAGTGTTATGACACTTGAACAAACATGCAGCGGAAATATAAAGATAAAAGAACAATACTCAGAATTAAAAATGTTCACAAGTAAAGACTTGTGAACTTGCCCTTTACAGGACGGAAAAAATATATTAAAATCAGTATTCCAAGAATACAAACAGAAGAGTGCGAAAACTTCTTCCTTATGAATGAATCTTTTTCAAGATCATTCTTACAATCAAATCTAGATATTAAAAGAAAAATATTAAAAATTCTAGATTTCAAAGAATGTACTCATAAGGAGTACGTAAAACAGATCCTAGAAAACACTCTAAAATTCTCGAGATTAAACTTTAGCTCTCTTTTTGTTTTCTCGAAATCTGTATATTCTTGAGTCTTGAGTTTGGTATTTATAGACTTGCCAAGCTTCCACTCATCAGCCCATGATCTGCAAGAAAACCAACCACAAGAGCACTCAAGATAATGGGTTAGTGGGTTAGTTAGGAAGTTAAGATAAATTCCATAATTAAATCCACTAAGCACTACTTAACCCTACTTAGCCCACTAACTAAGATTTAGTTTAGAGTTTAAGAAAAGTTAAAAACACATTGTGAAATTAATTCACGTGTTTCAGATTGTATGCATGAAAATGTAACAAGACTAATAGTAAGCTATGGGGATTAGTATCTGTCCGTTAGCTACAATTTACAGTACATAGTAGTAACGACACTTGAAAGTTAATTTCTTTAGTTTCATGCTTGGGGATTTATTGGGAAACGGTTATATGTTGATTTGTCGGCATACGGTTTAATACCCGTCATTAAAATTTTGCACAGACCATAATTTGTACATATAGAAATTAGTGTTTAATCAATAAGCGAGTTGTAGTAGTTTGAAGTAAGTAACACATGTACTAATTTGTGTTTATTTGTTGCTTGGAAAAACTAATTATAGTATTATTGCTTTAAAAAACTTAGTACAAAACTTCTGCAGTTTTTTATTAACTCGACGACAAATGAAAATGCAAGAAATACAAATTACTTTATTCGACCAGTACAGAACTTATGCAGTTCTTTATTAGCTCGATGAAAAATGAAAATACTAGAAATACAAATTACTTTATTTGATCGTCTCCGACAAGTTTGGGTGCTGAGTGGGTGTGCATTGTTTTCAAGAGCTTGTTGATGGAATAGGGATTGGTTCAACCAAGAGTGAGACCAAATTTGTCTTGGTGTCGCTATCTGGTGCACCAAAACCATCACCAAACTGGTAAAAGCTGAAACCAATCCGAGCAAGATTCATAGCAGTTGTCTGAAAATTCTTTATCGGCTTATCCATAAATATTATTTCTTTGTTCATCTTCTTCAACAGATCATCAATCACATCTTTCTTGATGTACTCGCGTGCGTCCTCTTCAGAACAGCCTGTTTCGTGCATGTAACACTCTATATATTTCGGAACATCCCCTCGTTTTATTTCAGCCTGTAAATCAATTTTCATTAGACAACCAAAATATAAATCTGTTAGTGATTAATTAGTTTTGATTTAGTGGTTTAATTTTAGAAACGTACAGATGAAGTGCCCAAGTCCCCTAAGAGGCGAAGAACAATGGAAGGCCAACGAATAATTCCAGGGTATTGCTCTAAAAAGTGCAGCTCCTTAGTGTTAATCGTGTACTTGTATTTTTACTGATTCTTTTTCAATTTATTTCTAACTTTCTGTCCGCAATTATATTACTGTGGCAGTTAAAAGTTAATTTCTTCAGTTTCATGCTTGGGGATTTATTGGGAAAATTATCTCAGTTATAAGTTGATTTGTCGGCATACAATTGAATGCCCGTCATTAAAATTTTGCACGGATGATAGTGTGTTACATATAGAATAGAAATTAGTGTTGGATAAATGAGTTGTAGTAGTTTGAAGTCAGTAAAACATGTACTAATTTGTCTTCATTTGTTGCTTGGAAAAACTAATTGTAGTATTATTGCTTGAAAAAACTTAGGACAGAACTTCTGCAGTTCTTTATTAGCTCGACGAAAAATGAAAATGCTAGAAATACAAATTACTTTATTCGATCGTCTCCGAGAAATAAGAGTGGGTGCGCATTGTCTTCAAGAGCGTGGTGATGGAATAGGGATTGGTTCAACCAAGAGTGAAACCATATATGTCTTGGTGTCACTATCTGGTGCACCAAAACCATCACCAAATTGGTAAAAGCTGAAACCAATCCGAGCAAGATTCATAGCAATTGCCTGAAAATTCTCTATGGGCTTATCCATAAATAGTATTTCGTTGTTCATCTTCTTCAAGAGACCATCAATCAGATCTTTCTTGATGTGCTCGCGCGCGTCCTCTTCAGAACAGCCTGTTTCGTGCATGTAACACTGGATATATTTCGGAACATCCCCTCGTTTTATTTCAGCCTGTAAATCAATTTCCATTAGACAAACCAACAAAATATAAATATGTTAGTGATTAATTAGTTTTGATTAGTGGTTTAATTTTGGAAACGTACAGAAGAAGTGCCCAAGTCGTCTGCGAGGCGAAGAACGGTGGCCGGCCAACGAATAATGCCAGGGTATTGCTCTAAGAAGTGCAGGTCCTTGGTGTTAATGGGATTTGTTATGCAAAAGTAACCATGGAAAAAATTGTTCATGAAAATAATCGAAACCCAGGCTAAGTTGATGTACTCGTTCGTGCTCGGGCGATACCCACTGTGGAACCATTGTGCTTCTTTATAGTAAGCTCTACACAGTTCCGCCCACTGTACATAATCAGTACATGCATGTAAGAAGATGATCAGAAGAAGAAAGCATCCAAAGGGTGAGATGTTCCTGCTTCAGTTTCATGATCTTTTTCTCCCCCTTTTCTCAGTTTTGAGATGATGATGAGACCTTGGTCCCTGAGAACTTTGTAAGCCAATTCATTAGCGCAGTTAAACAGAGCTAGGAAGCTGATTCGCATGTATCCGGGTAAGCGTTCCAATGCGTTAATATCCCACCTGATTATGTAATAATTATATTAATTACTTAAAATTTACTTGGTAATATCTTAATACATTGTATTAACCAATTAATTTACCTCTCGACCGTATCGGTGAAAAGCTCGAGTTCATCCATCGTACCGTACACATCGTATATGTCGTCTATAATTGTAATCATTACAGCAATCTTGGTCATAAACTCCCTGGGATACCCAAATCGAACCTCGGGTGTATATCCGACAGCCCATAAGTAACACTCTGGCAATCGGTCCCTGGCAAACCCCAACTTGTCTGCAAGACCGGTTTCTTTATGCCACCTGTAAGGTAATAATATAATTAAAATTGTCACATAATTTCTTCATTTCTGCTAATTTAATTAGAAAACGACGATAAATGAGCACCTCGATAGCTGTTTAAGTTCGTCCTGATAAATGGCTTGAACCATGTTGAAGTCCAGTGCGGCCAATTGGAGAAGAATAGGGTCACCATTGTAGATGTTCATAAACCATCTTGCTTCGAGTTTATGCACTCTCCAGTGCAGTGGAAGCTCCAATGCATGCCTCACTTTCTCAGCTAGAATCGCGTCTTCGATTTGCTTCACCTTTTCAGTTAGATGACGAGTCGAGAATTTTTTGGCAGAATCCAATATTCTCTCACCTTCGACGGATAAAAACGAAGCTTCATACAGAGACAAAACTCCCTTCACATCACCAGCAAAACACTCCTTAAAATTTCCTTCCTTGTCCAAGAAACTACCGAAAACCTCTGTATAAAAAAAATGATTTTAAAAAAAAAATTATTGGTGTTATTAAATAAAAAAAAAAAGATATATAAAATGCACCTTGAGGGACAAGAAATCCATTTTGTCTGAGAAGTCTAAATTTGAGAGATGTAACATGCAAGTGTTGCACGTGTTTGCCGTCGTCAAATTCGTCACGGTAAATGTCGCCCAAGATCTTTTTGATTGAATCCTCGAAGTGGTGGGATATATGGAACCTCTGCAGATTATCGATAAGTTCAAGTTGCTCTAGCGTATGGTTTTCGGTTTCGTCGATGATTATCTGCACCTGCCTTTTCAGCTTCTCAGCTTGCTCAACGTATTTCTTGTCCTGCATTTCCAACAAACAATCGTCAGATATTAAATTTGCGTCTTACGGATGCTCTCATCCAATCGTGAAACGTGTTTGATGAAATTTTCCCATAATTAACGAAGCTAGTGACATATATTTATATGATCAAGCAAGAGATAAGTTTTTTTTTCCTTACCGTGTATGGAGTGGTGAGGGACTGAACGTAATCGTGATCCCAAATGCTCCTTCCGTAGTTTCCGGATCTTCTTGCCTCCTCCATACCGTTTCGGCGCTTACGTCGATTATGAGTTGTTTTCTTTTTCTTTCTGTTGTAAGAAGAAATGAAATATGAGTACTGATAGAAAAGGTGTACCTTGGATGTTGATATTAGCAAGTTATTTATAGTTGAAGGTTGAATCCATAGTAAAGTGAATAAAGGGATGTGAGATTTACGGAATTGCCATCGGTCTCTATTGGTTTTGATGATGGGATTAATTAAATTGGTTCAATGTTGTTGCACTATTAGGAATTATGTAATATAAATAGTTTATAGACAAGAGGGTTATTATTTTAGTCCACTAGGTTTCACATGTGAGATATTTACTCCACTTGATTTCGAAAGTATTATTTAATTATGTAACTTGCAAAAGAAAATCAGATTTTTGGCCATGTAACATATTATATATGGGTAAAAAGCATAAAACTCCGTTCTAAGGAAAACATGCGCCAAACTCCCCTCTTGTATTTGATTTTATTTTATATGAAATTTCCTTTTCCATTAAATGTTAACGTCGTTAACTACAAGGGAGATTATATGCAATTTTTTCATAATATGGCGGGTTTAAGGCATATCTTTTATAATACAAGGAAGTTATGCAAAATTAATTTGTTCGTTTAATTTCATATTACTTTCTTAAATTAAGTCGAACACATTTATTCGGTTACAATAGGGAAAATAGAAATTAATAGGTATGGTGATTTTTTTTAAATCAATTTTTATATGCTATAATTTATTAATGTATTTGAAAAATTTGAGTTTTTAAAATATATAATATTGATTAGAATTATTATATATTTTTATAATTTATTGTGGATTAATTATATGTGAAAAAAACATGAATGATTTGAGAATTCATTCCACTTTCTATCTCGAATATTTTTTTTTAGTTTTTCATATTTTAAATTAATAGATGTATACTACTTTATTTAAAAAAATAATTTGAGTTTTAAATGAATATAATTAATTTTGCATAGGTCCCCATGTGTTGCGAAACCATGCACAAAATCCTCCTATGTTATAAAAAACTTGCATAAAATCCCTTCTCTAGTTCACGAAGTTAACTTTTAACGGAAAATGGGATTTTGTACAAAATAAAATGAAACACAACGGAATTTAACGCAAGAAAAAAACCACAGAGAAATTTAGCGCATATTTTTCTTAACACATGGATTTTATACTTTTTACTATAATCATATATAGTAGGTAGTCGAATGATGTAGATCTTCTGGTAAATCTAACATAGAAAGAAAGAATTATGCAACATATATAATTGAAACACATTGATTATATAATACTAGAAAGAAAAAAAAAATCATTCATATTTTGAAATGAAATTATAATCAATCACAAAATTTATAAAAAAAATATTTTCAAATTAGATAACTATTATAATTTAACAAAAAATATGAAATTTTAATTTTCAACAAAATATTTTCAGAAATCTCACTTATGTAAATTCGACGCAATATTCCAACAAATATTGGTAAAATTATATATATGATGATTTCAGAGTATTTTTAGAAGTGTATATCTGGATGCTAGAGCTAACGAAATACACTGAATGTATTTGCACACTTGATCTACGAATATATATGATGTGGAAACACTTGATAAATTATTTTTATGTTACGCCCGATGAAGATTACATCGAATTATTTTTCGCTGTTGATCTATTCTACACACACCAATATGAATACAAATGTGTGTTTGTGTATATGAAAAATAATGATATACCCGGTGTATTTCACCCACTGTAACATGCTATAAAATTTGATAATACACCAACAAATCACAATAGTCGGTGGTGAAATGTTTGCCTTCTTTTTCTCTTATTTTGTACAAGTGATGGGGAAGCGATTGTAGTAATTTAATGATATTCTGATTCTTTTAATATAAAACATAATATTTATTAATTTTCTTAACAGGTAATTAATAACTTGAGACGAGATATTGGACCGGAGAGAGCACTAAGCAAGAGGGTAATTAAGAATTAAGATGGCTCTGAAGTTTCTGACAGCTTCTTATTATGCATGTGCTAAACAATTATTAATCATATTATTAAACTAATGCTTTAACTTATTATAATTCTTATGATTTTTTACTGATTTTAATTCTCATGACTTTTTAACCTTGATGGCTTTCTTTCTGATGGCTTCAATCCGTATTACTTTAATTCTTATGACGTTCACTTATTTTATTTTTTATGAGTTTTATTCTTATGACTAATTGATTTTAGGGTCTATTAGATATAACCCCCTTAAACATTCAAATAATAGGGGTAGATCCAAACTTAAATTTGCCATTTTGATAAAAACCCAAACTTTTCTAAATTACATAATTACCCTCAATCAAATCCCACAAATCCCGTTACTTTACCTTTTGAAATAATATCAAATCTCTCCCTATTTTCCCGTTAAAACATTATCACCACAAACCCACTATCAAAAAAACTGCAAAACCTCCCAAAACCAGAAATTTGCACGGCCGTGGATCGGCGATTTTTCTGCACTCCGACCAAGCCTCCGTAGGTACGTCGTCGCCACTCGCTGAATCGCTATCATCCATCGATTTGTTGATATGTTTTGGCTAAATCGACTATCACGTTTGTGTAATTGCAGATCTGTTATAATCGCATACCGAATTCGAGCACTAAATCAGTGATATTGCAACAATTGATGGGCAGGACATCCACCAGAAGTGATATCGTCGTTGGCCGCTGTCGCCGTCGCCGTCACTGCTCCAATCTAGGGTTACTCAAATCTAGGATTACTCAAATCTAGGGTTTTGATAATTCTTCGGCCCATAGTTGATTAACGAGATGCATAGTCGAATTACATCTGTATTAATATACTATCCCATATCATTTAATAGACTATCCCACTGGTATAATTTTACTATGGATCTCGTTAATCGACTATGGGCCGAAGAATCATCAAAACCCTAGATTTGAGAAGTGACGGCGGCGGATTTGTGTTTTAAAATTAATAGACTATCTCATATATTTTAATAGACTATCCCATGTATCTAATTCGACTATGGGTTTAGTTAATTGACTATTGGAAAAATAATAATATATATGGAAACTGAATAATATGTTTGTTTGAAATACTAATCAATTAGGGTAATTTTCCTTATTATATGAAAACGATTAGGGTAAATAATAATATATATGAAAAAATAATAATATATATGGAAACTGAATAATATGTTTGTTTGAAATACTAATCAATTAGGGTAATTTTCCTTATATCGTGTAATAGACTATCTTATTGATCTAATTCGACTATGGATCTCGTTAATCGACTATGAATCCCGTATTATTCAACCACATAGTATATTAATAATTTCAATATATATAGTACATTAATCTGCTATAATAGTATATTACGGTTATAGTAGTGATATGAAATTGTGTTACAAACAATATACCACTGAAATGACAAGAACATTGAGAACAACACCAGCGTAAAGTATTCCAACATAACCAATAAAATAGTACATTAATAATCTCATAATTTCAATCTAGGGTTTTGATAAAATACATAAAACATATCATAACACAATCAAACCAATATGTCGAGTTAAAAAACTCTAGTACATTAATAATTTCATAATAGTATAATAAAATGATAATGGTAGTATCATACGGTATTCATAATAGTATACTACTGTATTACAACGGTTTAACACTTAACCGAAGTTACCGAGCCATTACATCGTAAACACCTCTTTATAACAACCAACCCACCAAACCTCAACAAAATCCGTACGAAATTCGCCATCGAAAAAACCTAAAATCATGAAACAAAATAAAAAATGCAGAATACTAATAAATGATTAAATAGACTGCAAATACATTTGAATGATAATACATTAATATCATCAAAAATAAACTTAAAATGCAAAATCCATACGCTAAATTAAAAAAGACTACGAACTATATTTTAATGTACTACCCAGCACACTTAAATCGGCTGTTATAAACAAATAAACCAACTATCGACCGGGATCAAAAACATGAACTCGACCACAACGGACAATTATTCCGATTATTGCATAAACCAACTACGAAACTCATATAAAACAACTCTGGTCCGATCTGCGTGAACCATCCTCTTCTAACTCTGTCAATCCTCTTCCAAACAAACATCCTCCGCAAAAAATAACGATGTATATATGACGACGTAATTTTGTTAAAAAACGTTCTACTTAATAGAATCAAGTATCAACACAACTCTTAAAAATGTCTAACCACCGTACACGACAATCCTGTACATACAGCGAAAATAAAAGCGAAAATAAAAGCGAAAAAAGACGCATTCATACCCGCTTGACGGTGAAGAAATCTTCAAAGGCGATTAAAACGATGGAACGCTGGATAAATCTTAAAAAAAAAATTGTACACTATTTGATAGACACGATTTGATAGAACGGCCAATGATCTCACGTAAATTTATTCCGTGATTTTAGAATCACGTATCAGCAAATCTCATATCACGTAGTTAAGGAAATAAATGTCGTTCAAAAATAAAACAGGGGTATTAAAGGGAAATTATATAATATATTTTGCCAAGTTGACAAATTTGGGTGTATCTCAAAAAGGGAAAAATTAATTGGATCTACCTCATTAAAAAATATGAACAAGGGGGTTATCCCTAATAAACCCTTGATTTTAATTATTAATCATATTATTCAATTTTAGGTTTTAACCCACTCCTAATTAAGACAAATAAAAATATATCACATATAAATTTTTTAGATATTTTATTTCTTGGCTTAACAACCTCTCTCTCTCTCTCTCTCTCTCTCTCTCTCTCTCTCTCTCTCTCTCTCTCATGCTAGAAACGAGCCTCTCAACGACCAAAGAAACTGATAATTGTGTACGTTGAATAGATGCCTAACAAACTACAACAAGAAAGATTCCCCTTCTCTCTCTTCCTTCCACAAATTAAAGTGCACTTCTTGTGAATAACACTCATCATATCATATGTATATATATATCAAACTGCTATATTACATCTATTCTGCAATCCCAAGAAAACTAATTGAGACCGGATTTCACTTAACGAATCCCTCGATATATACATTTTGTCGTGTATGGATGGATACTGCATTCGAAGATTTATGCATAACTGATCGAGACAGAAAAAATTGGAGCAGAATGGATAAGAGAAAGAAGATTGACCAAGAAGACAATAGCATTGACCGAGAGTTCATATCCAAAAACCTCGAGGCTGAAAGAAGGAGGCGAAAGAAACTCAACGATAGACAGCTCGAGCTCCGCTCCTTAGTCCCGATTATCACAAATGCAGGAAGTCAAAACCCTTTTTCTTTTTTTGGTTTTTTATAATTATTTTATATTACTTTTACTTTTGACAGTGTAATGATGGATGTATATATGTAGATGAATAAAGCAACCATAATAACCGATGCAATCGCTTACATTGAAGAGCTGAGAAATTCCGTCGAAGAGCTTACTGACCAAATACTCCAAATGGAGGCCACCGACGAAAACAGAAACACCAAAAATGAAGACATTAATATTAATGACGACGACCACCCGATGAAAATCGCGGTATATATGATAATTAATAAAATACAGTTTAATGATATTTTCTTAATTATAGTTAATTGTTCTTAATTATCATGACTTGGAGCATCAGCCGGAAGTTGAGGTAAACCACATTTGCGGGACGAAGATATGGATAAAGATTATCGTACAGAAGAAGAGAGGAAGGCTAACTAAACTAATGGAAGCAATTAGTGTGATTGGATTTCATCTCACTGATATCAGCATTACTACCTCACAACAAGCCATTCTTTTTACTTCATCTGCAGAGGTAGTAAAAATAAATAAAAAATTAATCAAATTATTCAATTAAAAAATGCATAAATGATGTTTTTATTTTTTGTGTTACCAAATAATTACTTGCAGGGAGTTCATGGTGGAGTGCAGGATGCTGATCAGATAAAAAAAATCCTGTTGGAAATTATAAGGAGCATTTAGAGGAATTAATTATATTTAATGGACAATTATTTTATATATTCACCAATTGATCTCTGTACCTAATTCAGCACGGTAATCAAACTATTACTATCAACCATTAATTATATTTCACCACGGTAACCATACTATTACTATCAACCATTAATTATAGGGTAAATTACACACATCCTAAGGTATGGTCAATTTACAAAAAAAAAAATCCTCTTGTTTGGATAATTACATCTACCCCATTAACTATAATTTTTTCTTACACATCCACCCTTATGGTGTCAAATTCAACATAATCATCTATATTTCATGGAATGTGTGCTCTAGTTTGTACTCGTTTTATGTAAAAATACAGTTTCTGATGCACCACAATCTGATATATATACAAGCCAAAAAACACATATTATGATCATCTTGCTTCAAAATGTAGAGTTCGAATGAGATAAAACGAGTAAAAAAATGATAATATTCCATATAGCTCGACGAAGAATGAAAATGCTAGAAATACAAATTACTTTATCGTCTTAGCTCGACGAAAAATGAAAATACTAGAAATACAAATAACTTTATTCGATCGTCTTAGCTCGACGAAGGATGAAAAAACTAGAAATACAAATTACTTTATTCGGTCGTCTTAGCTCGACGAAAAATGAAAATACTAGAAATACAAATTACTTTATTCGATTGTCTCCGACAAGTTTGGGTGCGAGTGGGTGTGCATTGCTTTCAAGAGCTTGTTGATGGAATAGGGATTGGTTCAACCAAGAGTGAGACCAAATTTCTCTTGGTGTCGCTATATGGTGAACCAAAACCATCACCAAACTGGTAAAAGCTGAAACCAATCCGAACAAGATTCATAGCAGTTGTTTGAAAATTCTTTATGGGCTTATCCATAAATAGTATTTCTTTGTTCATCTTCTTCAACAGATCATCAATCAGATCTTTCTTGATGTACTCGCGTGCGTCCTCTTCAGAACAGCATGTTTCGTGCATGTAACACTCTATATATTTCGGAACATCCCCTCGTTTTATTTCAGCCTGTAAATCAATTTTCATTAGACAAACCAAAATATAAATATGTTAGTGATTAATTAGTTTTGATATGATTAGTGGTTTAATTTTGGAAACGTACAGATGAAGTGCCCAAGTCGCCTAAGAGGCGAAGAACAATGCCAGGCCAACGAATAATTCCAGGGTATTGCTCTAAAAAGTGCAGCTCCTTGGTGTTAATGGGATTTGTTACACAAAAGTAACCATGGAAAAGAAGCACTGGGCCTGGAATTGTAAGCCAGGCTACATTGATGTACTCGTTCGTGCTCGGGCGATACCCACTGTGGAACCATTTTGCTTCTTGATAGTAAGCTCTACTCAGTTCTGCCCACTGTACATAATCATTACATGCATGTAAGAAGATGATCAGAAGAAGAAACGAAAAAACGAAAAAGAAAACGAACCGAATTATTTGCATATATATACCAATTTTCTCAGTTTTGAGATGATGTTGAGACCTTGGTCCCTGAGAATTTTGTAAGCCAATTCATTAGCGCAGTTAAACAGAGCTAGGAAGCTGATTCGCATGTATTCGGGTAAGCGGTCCAATGCGTTAATATCCCACCTGATTATGTAATAATTATATTAATTAATTAAAACTTATTAGGATCTTGGTAATATATAAATATAATGTATAACCAATTAATTTACCTCTCGACCATCTCGGTGAAAATCTCGAGTTCATCCATCGTACCGTACACATCGTATGTGTCGTCCATAATTACAATCATTACAGCAATCTTGGTCATAATCTCCCTGGAAAACCTAAATTGAGGCTCGGGTGTAAATCCCACGGCCCATAAGTAACTCTCCGGCAATCGGTTTCTGGCAAACCCCAACTTGTCAGCAAGACCGGTTTCCTTATGCCACCTGTAAGATAATAATATAATTAAAATTGTCACATAATTTCTTCATTTCTGTTAATTTAATTAAAAACGACGATAAACGAGTACCTCGACAGCTGTTTAATTTCGTCCTGATATATAGTTTGCACCATGTTGAAGTCCAGTGCAGCCAACTGAAGTAGAATAGGGTCACCATTGTAGATGTTCATAAACCATCTTGCTTCGAGTTTTTGCACTCTCCAGTGCAGTGGAAGCTCCAATGCATGCCTCACTTTCTCGGCAAGAATCGCATCTTCAACTTGTTTCACCTTTTCAATTAGATGACGAGTCGAGAATTTTTTGGCAGAATCCAATATTCTCTCACCTTCGACGGATAAAAACGAAGCTTCATACAGAGACAAAACCCCCTTCACATCACCAGCAAAGCACTCCTTAAAATTTCCTTCCTTGTCCAGGAAACTACCGAAAACCTCTGTATAAAATAAATTTAAAAAAAAAATTAAAAAAATATTGGTGTTATCAAATAAAAAATATATATAAAATGCACCTTGAGGGACAAGAAATCCATTTTGTCTGAGAAGTCTAAATTTGAGGGATGTAACATGCAAGTGTTGCATGTGTTTGCTGTCATCAAATTCATCACGGTAAATGTCTCCCAAGATCTTTTTGATTGAATCCTCGAAGTGGTTGGATATATCGAACCTCTGCAGATTATCGATAAGTTCAAGTTGCGCTAGCGTATGATTTTCGGTTTCGTCGATGATTATCTGCACCTGTTTTTTCAGCTTCTCAACTTGCTCTATGTATTTATTGTCCTGCATTTCCAACAAAGCATTGTTCAGACACTAAATTTACCTCTCACGTACGGTTCAAATAATTTTCTTTGTTATGATCTTATTCAAACATGGAACATGTTTTTTTTTTTTTCTTGACCGTGTATGGAGTAGTGAGAGACTGAACGTAATCATGATCCCAAATGCTCGTTCCGTAGTTTCCAGATCTTCTTGTCTCCTCCATAGTAATTATCTGCAATCGATTGAACACAACAGTAATGAATATTGCATTATCTTGTTCATTAGTATGTAATAATTTTGCTTTTTTTTTTTCATATATGTGATACGATCTCTAAGGTATTATAAGATTTCTTTACGAAACGCAAGAAAACTCAAAATAAATATTATTCTGCATAATATAAAACCCTTTTGCGAATCTTTAAATCAACATTAAAAGACACTAAGAGTGATATTCGAAAGAATATATACCTTTTCGGCGCTTAAATTGATTATGAACTGTTTTTTTTTTCTTTTTTTGGTAAGAAGAAATGAAATATGAGTGTTGATATGTAGAAAAGGTAGCAAGGTATTTATAGTCGAAGATTGAGACCAGTATTAGGGGTGAATAAGGGTTGAGATTTACGGAATTGCCATTAGCCTCTATTGGTACAGCGTTGTTTCACTGTCAAGAATTATGCAATATTAGACAAGAGGGTTATTTTGTTTTATAAAGAATTATGCCAATTATATGATGGAAACACGTTGATTATATAATACTAGAAAAACAATTATTCACATTTCGAAAATGAGATCATAATCAATTACAAAATTTATAAAAATAGATATTCAAAAAAGATAAATATTATAATTTGAAAAAAAGAATCTCGATTATGTAAATTCGACGACATATTCCACAAAAGATATTGGTAAAATTTTATATACGATGATTTCAGAGTATTACTAGAAGTGTATATATCTAAATCCTATTGGTGAGATACACTGTATGTGTTTGTACAATTGATCTACGTACGCATATATATATGATGTAAAACTATTTGATAAATTATGTATGAATAATAAAAATTCATCTCATGTATTTCACCCGATTAGCATATATAGTATGAACCTGATGATTGCATAGTAAACTTTGATAGCACACCAACAAACCACAATAGTCTGTGGTCCGATGTTTGCCTTCTTTTTCTCGTGTTTTGCACAAGTTGTAGGGAAAGCAATTGTACTAATTTAGTAATATTCTATATTTTTGGCAATAATACATAATATGTATTCGATTTCTTATTCGACAACTTAAGACGATATATTGGACTAAGTAATAGGAGGACAGTATACTTTGATAAGTCTAAAACTGAGAGATGTAACATGCAAGTGATCGTTTTCCACGTGTTTTCGATCATCAAATTCATCACGTTAACAAGGAACTGACCCTTTTGGAGGCGGGTTCAGGTCATGTCCAATCGGGTCCGGGACAGGTTCAAAACCGGTTTTTGAAATTTTTTTCTTTTATTATTATTTTCACATATATAAAAAATGAGGAAAAGAAAAGGCTAAATTTCGGGTACGGAATCAAAGAATCCTGGCCCTTCATCTCAAACGGTCGGATGACTGTGACCGTTGGAAAAAAAATAAAAAAAAATTGAAATCAGTCAGATCGAGTCGGTTCGAGTCCGGGTGGACCCCAAGTTTCTAACCGTTGAAAACAAAAAAAAAAAATAATAAATTCAGAGCGAGTCCGATTTATAGAAACATTTCTTTATTCGGGTGAATCCGACTGGTACTCGGGTCAGGTCCTCGGATCCCCCGCCGGGTAGACCCGTAGAGTCTCGAGTCTAAAAAATTGAGACCCGAAACCGACCCATACTTTGTCGGATCCGGGTCCGGGTCCGGATCAATGATCAACGGGACGGTCTTCGGGTTGGATCGGGGCCGGGCCGGGTCAAACCCGACCCGTGGCTGTGTAAGAAGTAATGTGGTGTTTTTGTCAAAGAGCCCCTACTTTAATTCTTATGACTTTCACTTATTTTAATTTTTATGAGTTTTATTCTTATGACTAATTGATTTTAATTTTAATCATATTATTCAATTTTAGGTTTTATCCCACTCCTAAAAAATATAAAAATATATCACATATAAACTTTTTAGATATTTAATTATTTCTTGGCTTAACAACCTCTCTCTCTCTCTCTCTCTCTCTCTCTCTCTCTCTCTCTCTCTCTCTCTCTCTCTCTCTCTCTCTCTCTCTCTCTCTCTCTCATGCTAGAAACGAGCCTCTCAACGACCAAAGAAACTGATAATTGTGTACGTTGAATAGATGCCTAACAAACTACAACAAGAAAGATTCCCCTTCTCTCTCTTCCTTCCACAAATTAAAGTGCTCTTCTTGTGAATAACACTCATCATATCATATGTATATATATATATCAAACTGCTATATTACATCTATTCTGCAATCCCAAGAAAACTAATTGAGACCGGATTTCACTTAACGAATCCCTCGATATATACATTTTGTCGTGTATGGATGGATACTGCATTCGAAGATTTATGCATAACTGATCGAGACAGAAAAAATTGGAGAAGAATGGATAAGAGAAAGAAGATTGACCAAGAAGACAATAGCGTTGACCGAGAGTTCATATCCAAAAACCTCGAGGCTGAAAGAAGGAGGCGAAAGAAACTCAACGATAGACAGCTCGAGCTCCGCTCCTTAGTCCCGATTATCACAAATGCAGGAAGTCAAAACCCTTTTTTTTTTGGTTTCTTTTTTTAATTATTCTATATTACTTTTATTAATTTTGAAAGTTTAATGATGGATGTATGTAGATGAACAAAGCAACCATAATAACCGATGCAATCGCTTACATTGAAGAGTTAAGAAACTCCGTCGAAGAGCTTACTGACCAAATACTCCAAATGGAGGCTACCGACGAAGTCAGGAACACCAAATTTGAAGACATTAATATTAATGACGACGACCACCAGATGAAAATCGCGGTATATATGATAACTAATAAAATACATTTTAATGATATTTTCTTAATTATAGTTAATTGTTCTTAATTATCATCACTTGGAGCATCAGCCGGAAGTTGAGGTAAACCACATTTGCGGGACGAAGATATGGATAAAGATTATCGTACAGAAGAAGAGAGGAAGGCTTACTAAACTAATGGAAGCAATTAGTGTGATTGGATTTCATCTCACTGATATCAGCATTACTACCTCACAACAAGCCATTCTTTTTACTTCATCTGCAGAGGTAGTAAAAATAAATAAAAAATTAATCAAATTATTCAATTAAAAAATGCATAAATGATGTTTTTATTTTTTGTGTTACCAAATAATTACTTGCAGGGAGTTCATGGTGGAGTGCAGGATGCTGATCAGATAAAAAAATTCCTGTTGGAAATTATAAGGAGCATTTAGAGTAATTAATTATATTTAATGGACAATTATTTTATATATTCACCAATTGATCTCTGTTCCTTGACAACGGTAACCATACTATCATTCATTAATTATGTAGTGACAAATTTAAATTTTATTTAGTAATATTAATTATTATATTTCCATTTTACCTTCAAAAACAATATATTAATTATCAAAATTGAAAAATAAAACCTACGGGACCAAGTACAAATATAGCAGCAATCATTTACAATTAAAAAATATATTTATTTTTATTTTTATTTTTTGATGACGAATGGGGATAATTATTAATTAACAATCTGGCGCTCTCTCTCTCTCTCTCTCTCCTCTTTTCTCTCTAATGCAAAAAAAGAACGAGTCTCACAGTGTGTTGAATGGATTGCCTAACAAACTCCAACAATAATAGATTCCCGATTCTCTTCTTCCTATTTGGCCGAACAATGCCTATTTTAATTGAGGAATTTCCCCCACCCATAATTATCTTTTATACAATGTCTTGGAAGAAGCTGTGAATCCAGAATATTCGGTTCCATCAACCTGACAAGCTTGGCTCCTGTCAATGCAGAGCAATTTAGTTCAATTCCAAGTCCACCTCCTTCGGGTCGGGTCAAAACAAATGGAGCTCCATCAATCGTATCCATTTTGAAAGCACCATTCAACTGACAACTCTGTCGCTTGTGGAGATGTAATAATTGGAGGATTTGCCATTGCTCCGGCTGCAGCCGTAATCTGCTACAACATTCGGATCACAAGAAGAAACAACAATGCCTCTCTAAAATGACTTACATATATATATATATATGTTCTCTCCATTTTTTCCGGTATCTGTTTTATTCAGTTACAAGCTTTTAGTCTTATAATTTCATTAATTGTAACAAACATCACGCGAAGTAGGACCGCTGAACGAAAGCGTTAATTTTGAATATAATGATGTCCAACATGAGTACATATGTTTTTATAACTTTTAAAGATTGTATTTGATTTATTTAACAAGTAACCTGAAAAGAGCAGAGCAAACATCACACTGTTTTGTTTTACCCCACCTGCAAAATCACCTTTCAAGTACCATTAACAAGATTTCATGCACCTTTTTTTTTTTTTTAATAATTTCTTTACCTTTAATCAATCCTTTATTAATTGTTCATCACACACAAAACCGCCTATTAATGATTGATAAAATATCTTCCTCTTGAATTTTCCATTTTAAATCGAACTTTTCTGACCAAACCTGTTGGATTTAAACGTAACAATGCTCAATATATATATACATACAGATATATGCATACAGAAGACTATGATAGTATGTTAAAGATTTGATTTAAAAAATCAAAACATGTGGACCTGAGTTGGAATAATTTACTGCATATTTTTTTTATTGATGGATTGGTACTACTGTAGGGTCCAATTTACATGTTAATGTATGGACTATGGTAAATATATGATTTTGCCAACAGGTCCTCAATCTTTTCCATATTTTAATGTTGCATTCAAGTTAAAAATATTCGGGTTGCTCCAACAACAAATCGATTTAGGGTCGTAATTCAACCGGTTTCAAGTTTAGTGAAATCCAAATTTAATCTTTATATTGGCCATGTTCTTCATCTCAAGAAAATTTGATGATACTTGCAATGTTATAAACAGGAAATTCCGACGTACAACAGACATAATTCACTTCAATCGGGGGTATTAGAAAATCCGAGAATCTTTTCATTTCTCTCCGAAAACAAACTCTGTAGTTAGTATCAATCTTTTTACAACCCTACAATCTCCTACATTAGGAAGAACCATTTTAAAAAAAAAAACAAAAAAAAAAAAAAGACAATCTTTTCCCATCTCAGTTTTCCCAAAATCTCAACAAAGCAAACGAAAACGAGGTCGCAAACAAATCGAACAACGAAAAAATCGAGACTTTCATCTCTGAACTTCAAACCCCAACTCTTTCCTTGTATTCATTTCCAGCACCCCTCCTCCTACATTGTCCCAAAACAAGCAAATTCATCAGTTCCAATTCAAATTCTTACCACATTAAATATATATGTACATAACAAGAAAATTCTGAAAACAAGAGAGAGAGAGGGAGAGAGAGAGAGAGAGAGAGAGAGAGAGAGAGAGAGAGAGAGAGAGAGAGAGAGAGAGAGAGAGAGAGAGAGAGAGAGAACCTTGAGTTTGTTGAGGATGGCAAAAAGGAGGGTCTTCAAATAAAGAAAGAGACATCTGTTTATGAGCAACACCAATATCAAACAAAATAAGACCAGAAGAAGGATCATAAACAATGATATCTTTAACAGGCAACCACAAGAACAGCTCTTCTTGAGACAAACCCTCAACCCCGATTAAGCCGCCGTAACTAAGGTTAGCCCTCACCACACTCTCAAAGAAAACCCTCGTCTCAAATGTTGCGAAACAGGGCCTCTCCAGAAACACCTCCAGCACACCATCTTCTCCGAGTTGGTAAGACTTCACACCATTCTTTGGGAAAAGTCCACCTGGCAATCCTCTGCTTTCTAGAAGCTCGTGTATGGAAGAACTTGTGGCCAAAGGAAGAAGAAATAGACCAATGAGAAGTGTGGTGAATATCACCATACCCATTTTTGCTTTTCTTTTTTTTTTTTTTTTGTGAAATGGGAAAAGAGTGAAATAGCAAAAGATGAAGATTTTTGAGGGTTTTATATTGCCGTTGCATTGAATAAAAACGGTGTCGTATTCGTGGACGGGAGTTTTTGTTCTCATTTTGGTGTGTGTTACTTATTTTTCCCATTTTGGCCTTATTTGCTAAAATACCAATAATTTTTTTTATTTTTTTTTCGTGTGTATGTTGAGCTGGCAATTTGAGTTGACAGATAAACATGCGATGTCTTGCCAGAAGACATCTACCTAAGAACCAATTATTATTGTACATATATACATATATATATTACAAATATTTGATTTGTTTCTTTATATGTCTATTATTATTCTAGTAATATTATACACTAGAGTTATTACAGTCTGAATGAAGACTTGGAAAAACTTGAAAATGAGTAACCAAAAGTTGGAAGGGTAAAATGGTAAAAGAGGAAAATAAAAGTGTAGGAAACGCGAGACAAATGGCTTAAGGCTAAAGGGTGCGTGGTGGGGGTGTTTTGTGCATGGTAAGAGAATCATGTGAAAAAAGAAATTATTTTTATTATTATTTATTATTATTATTATCCCTACTCATTAAAGTGGAACACCAAACCCAGGGGCGGACCCAGGGGTGTTTTCTTGGGGGGGCGGAAATATAGGGGTAAATTAAGAGAGAATTTTTTTTTTTTGTTTTTAGGGACTAAAATGTACAAAATTAAAAGTTTGGGGGGGCGAAAGTGTATAAACTAATACATAAATACCCAAAAAAAAAAAAAAAAAAAAAAAAAACAGCTTAAAAAAAAATTCTTGGGGGGGCGGGGGCCACCCCAGCCTTAGGCGTGGGTACGCTGTCCAAACCTCACATTTCTTATCACCCAATCCGACGACGGAAAATACGAGGTTGCCTGCCCCCACTTTTGGATCTTTCTGTTTCGCTTAAATTAATATTTATATATTTATTTTTATTTTTTTTACAGTAAAAGATGAATTTTTAATTTTAATATATGCTTCGTTATGAGATGCCTTTCGGCTTTCCCTAAGATTCCTGTAGCCAAATTTTGCATACAAACATTTGAGTTGGGCATCTCTCAGACAAAGAATTCGACAGTACGTAGGACAAATTAAAATTTTCTAAATTTCAAGAATAATAATATTAATAATTACCAGTTTCTTCTAGATCCTTTTCTTTTTTTTTTCTTTACCAGTTTTAATTAATGTTAATAATTTACCAGTATATGTTTTTAATTCAATGGGCTGCCTACTGGAAAGCACGAGGTTTCATGACAGCATAAAATCTATTACCCTGCGGATATAAGATTTTTTTTTTTAATTTAAATATCAATATGAGAAATAAAATAAGAGAGACAGAGCTGGAACTTTCCTGAGTATCAAGTTCGGTTGGCAGGCAGTTGTTACTGTACGGACAAAAACTGAAACAATGGTACTAAAGAAATATTATTAAATTTTGATTTCAGAAGTACCTAGGTCAGAGCCTAGGGATTTCATTTCACACTAAAGTATGCTGTCACATTATTATATGGCTAATTACAAGGTTCACCTGAGGTAAGGCATAATTACGAAAAAATCAAATCCTCGTTGTTTATATAAGTACGAGCACTACCCCGAGGTATTCTCCGTCTAACGAATTTACTCTGTTAGAGTTAACAACATCCATGAAATATCCATTTTGTAATGAGCAGAATAACCTTAGGAGTTTTAAGGAAGAAAATCTCTAATTTAAAATATGTAATGATGAACTCTAACCATATACTCATACCAGACAGCATCACTGAATATCCTCCCAAAAAAAGCATGATTTTGCCTTCCACCAATCACAAAATAGTGCCATATAATAAAGATTATGGAAGCAAATAGTAAAAAAAAACATAGAGAATTATTTGAGAATTTTGTTTATTGAAGCCATGAATGATACTCATATTGAGCCTGCTTTTGGTTATGATGGTGATAGTTTTCATAATCATACGTAACTGCTTCTGCTTCTGCTTCAGCTTCAGCTTCTGGACCCCCAAATAGATAATCTGCAGCACTTTTCCATGGATCCATTCTTCTTTCCTCCATGAACTCATAATAGTTGTTCATCTGCTTCTGCTTCTTTTGCTGCTCGATCTTGGCTAAGCATGGCCAATAACCAAATATACTCTCGCAAATATCAATTGTTTCCAAACCAGAACCATATGGCATATAATGCATCCCCCTCTCACTTTCACCACCGTAATAATCGCCTCTCCTTTTTTCCTCGACCCCATTTTCATCTCCTTCAGCCATCAAATCATCGACAACGATTTCGACAATTTTGGTGTCGATTGGTTTACCTCCATTCTGACGCTTCTTTGGAAGATCAATATCTTCATCATCTTTAGCCATCGAATTTTCGACAATTTTCGTGTCGATTGGTTTAGCTCCATTTTGAGGCTTCTTTGGAAGATCAATATCTTCATCATCTTTACCATACGGTGAAGGAATCGAAGAATAAGAGAAATTTTCCAGTGATGACGTGGCGTCAGATCGAGGCACGGAGCGAGGGTAACAGGTGGTTTCTGAAGGAGGGAGTGGTTTGCCGTATGTGGCAACCGGATCATAACCTCCACCGTAAGGGGTCGGGTCGTATTCTTCGAATTCGGGTTCGTTGAATTCTTGCTTCGAATACGATATGAAGAATTTTGTCTCGTAAGGAGGTGGCTCGTAAGTGAGAAGCTTAGGCTCAATGTAGCTGTAGTGTGATGGATTTACAGAGTAGTGGGAATAATTATATTCGATCGGATCGTAACGCAGCGCTTGAGGCTCGGAAGAAGTGTAGACAGAGTAATTTAATTCCGGATCCGCAAAAGAATCATCATCATCTCTATAATAGTAAGCAGAAGATTTATATTCTAAAAACGCAGGCTCACCGTATTCATATGGAGAGAAGTACAGCGATGAAGCTTCACTCGGAGCAGGGGCAAAATCGTAATTGTAATTACTACCCGTGCCGGTGTAGCCATAGAAGGCCATTGTGCTGCAAAAAGAAAATCAATTTCTTCTATGCCTCTGGAGTTGCAGAAATCAGTTAGCTCCGAAAGTAGCTTTAATATCAGCCATTTGATTCTTATCCACTTTAGCAACTTGTTTGGTGATTTCACTGTTTGTAATTTTTTTTATTACAAGTGAGTGATTTGTTTGAGGACAAAGGGCATGTGCTACAGTAGCTTCATCTACATGCCAAACCCCAATAAGTCAAAATTGTGACTATGACAGTTGACCTCACGCAACTGTTTTTGCAATTGCCATAATACATGCATAGGTGCACTACTATGGCATGTGGGCAAATGCACACATTTTACTTGGATGGGCTTTAAGCAATGTTTGGCACTCTTTTGTTCCAATTCAGGTCGGATCGGACCTGAATCGGAACCATGTCCGAAACTTATGTGTAGTCAACAAATCGAGTCACCAGATTGTTGACCCAAAACCAAAATCAGCCCGTGTATACAAGGCCGGTCACGTGTTGGCATTTTCCGACCCGTCGGTTATAATAATTTTTTATTATTTTTTAAAATCTATGTCTATGGTCAAGATGAGTAGATCACTACTCAACAGTCCATTTTCACGGAGCCCGCGTCTAAACCGGGGGTTAATCGCCCTAAAATATTGAAAATAAATTAAAAACAAAAACTCGTAAAATCGTCTAGCCTAGTTGCTATAACATCTCCACTAATCTTCCGAATTTTTTTGAAAACTCAAACCTCTTAGTGAATATAAGCTTAACTTAAATTTTGTTCAACACTATTAAATACAATTTTTTTTTTACAATATTAAGCTACCAAAGTCAACCATAGGTGAAAGGAAACAAGCATCGTTACTCAGACAATCGATTGTAGAACCATGATTAAGGATTAAGGAGTTCCAGATTACATACTCGTACAGCTCCGATTATGAGGGGAATCGCTAATCTTAATCAACCTCCCATTTGTGAAACCAATCCCAAGCTGTAAACAACATTACAAAAAATCCATTTATACCAATTCGAATTGCAACTGCTACACGGGCTGCAGAGGAAACAAAAGAAAGGAATAAATTGAATAGACTAAATTAAATTCCGCATTCAAATTATATTCGGCAATAATTTGAACCTACACGTAATTCATTAAGAGGTAGATTCTGGAGCGGCTTCTTGTTTTTTAGGTTTTCTTTGTTCAGCAGGAGGGCCATCTCTCTGTCTTACGTATGCTTTGCTCTTGTACTTTGTACTTCTATCCTGCTTTGGTTGATAAGTCGGATATTGACATGGAATTATCTCTCCATTAACGTATTTATCTCCTACAATCACCCGAAAAAAAGAAAAGAATAGTGAAGATTAAATAAAAAGATAACAACTTTCCATTTATAAGTCGGATTATAGATAGTGTTAAAAAAAAAAAGACCAACCTCCGTAATCCTTGTTCTTAACATCGATATATGAATCGGGCAAGACCCATAAAACACCGGGTAGACCTACAAATGGCGAAGCACGGTCATCAAAACGGCCATTTTTAGGAACCGGAAATTCAACCAATTTTCTGTGAGATAAAAGGAGGTTTCGAGAGTGTGAAAAGAACATACCCTTGAATTTCTCGGATGTTTCTTCAGAAACGGTGCATTGAAACCCGGTGTATGTTGTGGTACTAAATGCGTACATATTCTTCTTGGCTTCTTCCATGCTACACAGATAATTTCAGGTTCATTTTTCGGGATATTTGGCCACTAAATAGATACATTTTCTACTTCGAATACGCTAGCAAATATACTGAAACATAAAGTGTCGTGTTATTCTCGAAAATCCCGATAATACTGTTACTTAAGCTCATGATCTCAATTCCCAAACTTTGGATTTACAGCCATCAATGGCAGTTAATATAATATATCAGCTTCTAAAATCAATATGCTAAATACTAGCAGCAAGCATATGGTATAAATACATAGAAACAATAAGCAAACATACTGCAATTTGAAAAAGAAAAAAAAATTGTAATTTAGGGCTTCAATTCTTATCCCTATTCCAATTTAGCAAAGTATAATTACTATGTAAGCTAAGAATAAGAGTCCGAAAAACAAGGGAGGAAGAGAAAAACCTGCCGAGGACGGTGGCAAGAGTGTTGAGATAAGTATCAATCATCTGGTCTCTGGTTGGAGCTGGGTCTTTGGGGAATTCCATAACGATGAGCCAGTGGTTGTAGTCACAGCCAGGTAACATTATCGTTTCCCTTTCCTCGCCGCCGCTTCTCCTCTTCGCAGAGTATTCACCATCGCCCAACGCTCTCACGGCCGTGAAAGCGGCGGCTCTTGATTTGATTAGGTGCGCCGGAGCGCACGGTAGGAACGATAGGGATGAGGTGGAAGGAAGCGAAGGGAGAGTGTTCTGATTCCTGGTGGCGGGGGTTAGGGTTTTGGGAAGAAGAGAGATGCTCAGAGAAGCCATTTTCTCGACTGTGAATGGTGGAGAAGAAACAGAGTCAGTCTGGGGAGGAAGATAATACACAAATTAAAATTAGAGATTTTTATTTTTAATTATTTGTTTGTGATAAATAATTATGCTAATTTCTTATTTATTACTAACAGAATGGCCCAAGTATCAAAACAGATTATCTACCTAAGCCCATTGGACCCAAGTTAGTGCAACAATTAGATAATTGGGCTGGTTGATTTTGGGCAGCTGATACAGGCCCATTAACAAATGACAATAAAAAATGAGTCAACTTTTAGTAATTTATTTATAGTAATTAAATAGTAGTTGACCAGTTCCTTTGTTCAGTTCAATAAATTGGTTGGACAAACAAATAAATTGCGTCATCTGCATGAATAAATCGAATATATATATATATATATCTATCAAGAAGTAAGTCGAAAGCTTCAAGACTATGATAGGTCATATGCATTGACGAAGAAAATATTAAATTAAATGAAATAATTATTACAAGATTAGGTGAAAACCCGGCACACAAAAAAATATCATGAAAGAATCCCCCCTATGTTAGTTTGTAGTCGAATGATGTTTTTGTGTCTTGTATGAGAATAAAATACTACTATATATTTGACTTAATTGTATCTATTTAAGCGTGCAAACTACTCTTTTCCAAAAGTGAATACATACAACTTTACTTTATTTAATTTTAGTATTTATTTCACCAAATCTTCATACTTAATCAGTAGTTCAACATAACTTTGTCTACACCTAATGGTCTATGTAGCAAATACGATCGATTATTAGGGGTGCGCTCGGGTCACAAATCTGCGGGTTTTGCTGAAAACCCTACTTAGTCAAACAACGGTTCTTGATTTTAAGAAACCAAATTTATAATTTTTTTACGGGTTGAAGATAGACGGGTCTATTATCTATAGCGGGTTTATATATTAAGATCCAACCTTCACGGATCGAAAACTGTTACAACCTAAACATGTTTTTTTTAAGATATCCCTCACTAAGAGACTAATACCTAAATATTTGTTTTTTAAAATTTATTAATTGGTCGTTAAAAGTGACGTATTTCCGCATCTCATGAAAGCCCCTGTTTTTTTCATTTTTTTGGGGGTCAATAATTAGTGTTGTGTTCATAATATAGTAGAGTTGCTTAACCTCCCTTAACCGTAGTTTGGCGTGTAGTTTATGGCAGCAAATTTCGTTAGTTATTCTGATTTTTTAGCAATTTTTATTCTTTATTGGCATACAAAATGAATACTTAAATTAATAGACACAAAAGAAATCAAGCATTAACAAGAAGTCCTTCTAGACCTTTGACAATATTTACATACAACTTACGTGTCAACCCCACACACCCAAGACTTATATATATATATATATATATATATATATATATATTAAAAGTCAGCAAGTCTTTGATTAATAGTGACATGCAATTTCTATAGAATGAGGAAGTTGGAAGACTTCTTTTCTAGGTTGAAAAAGAGTTAACGAAATTTCAACACCCTAAAAAGTCAACGATAAGATATGGTAGGAAAATAGCATAAGAAAGATTTACATTTCATTGTTTAATTAAAATAGCCTCATAAAAATTAAGTAAAAACTTCCGCTTATGTGTAACACGCGTTTTGAAAAGCAAAAATATAATAAGAGAAATTTACTAAAGTAACAATATGAACAAGTTAGTACTTATAATTAATTGACTTTAAGCCCGATAAATAACCGAAAGCTCCTCCTTTCGAAAGCTAGCAAGAATAGGAATGTTAACGATGATTCAGCGGTTGCTGGAAGTGAGTTTATATCAACGATCGACAAATCGAGTTTATCATACATGGTTAGTTTAGTGTCTGCCTTCATAGATTGGTGTTACTAAATAGTAAATAGGACCAATGTACAATTGTTGTACATAGGATAAAACATGTGGCTGAACATGTGTATACCTTCTTTTCCCCCCACTAATATACTTTTCCCAATTTCATCATTTATATGTGGAACCCTCCTCACCTGACTGTCACGTGCCAAAGTTTTTTGTTGGCCCATACAAAAATAACCTTCTGTGTATTCTTTTTGTCAATTTGTTACACCTCAATCTGAGATCAGCCTGATGTCATATTTATCTTTAATATTTTTAAGGAACTAAAATTGAATCCTAGTCTCCTATTGTATAGATATATAAAGCACTAATATTGACTTTAATTAATAATAATAATTGGTCTGAAAAATGAAGAAATTCGATTTTAGATCAAGTTTTATTCATATGCACCATTTCAATAGTTTTATTTTGTCATTGCAATAATAATTGAATAAATATATTGGCAAGACTTTAATTCGCAAAAAAATCATATTTAATTAGAAAATTCCAGGCCAGGGCTTTGACTCGTTGGACCAAATGGAGCCCACATGATGCGTCTGCCCCATATTTGGGACCGGTACGGCGTCGTTTCTTGCCCCTTACTAATTAATATTATTATTATCCAGAAAATGCTTTTGCAAGAAGAAGCAAATGACAAAATGAATTGTGTTTCATTTTCCTTTTTTTTTTTTTTTTTTTGTAATGGGAACTTTTGACGCTTTAGAATATTAATCACTTTGATTCAATAATAATTAATTTAATATACTGTTGATAGAAGAATCGCTGCATTGTCGGTTGAATAATATTAACATGTCAAGTGTAACAGATGATATTATACTGTAGATAATGATCATAATGTGAATTCAGTATTATATTATAGTAAATTTCCACTTATTTACAGATACATTTTCATATTATTCACCATGCATTCACAAGTCAACGCGATTATGACTTAATACCTATTCCATCTTTATCACTAATATTGATTGTGAAAAATACCAGAAAACGTGTTGTTGATTAAGATATTTTAGCATTATGATGATATTATTAACTTGATCAAGTTTCTTGATGCTAGCTCAAAATAAGGTTCCTTTTGGTTTAGATGGTTAACCCTAAGTTATAATCACATTAAATTAAGTCTTATCGATTGACTTTTGCATTAATATTTGACATTTAAAAGCTTGTGATTAAGAAATTTAACCAATCCCATCATCTAGTCATTTTGTCAATTTGTCAATTTATGTTGTTAAAACTTTAGTATAAATTTCGAAACAAAAATTACGCTAAATATAGCTAATGCAACCTAACTACTACCTCTAAAATAGACAGGTTAGCTTTTTAATTAATGGGAATTTGGAACACTTTTATTAATTACCAGTTGAAATTTTCATAGTTTTCTCACCCTAATTTATTATTGCTGCACTTTTCAATTTATTTTGCCTTTAATAGGCTTCAGAATATGTATACTCAATACATTCATGATTCATGTATAATTAGAGATTACAGACATTCTTTTTAATCTTATATATAAAAGAAAGAAACACTAGGTTACCCCTAAGAAACCCTAATAGTATTTTAATAATTATTTATTTTTAATATTTTTTATGTATTAAGTTTCTAACTATATTAATAATTATCAAAATTGACACTGAACCATGAAGAATCCTCCCGGTTTCAATCTCCTATTTTACATTAATATATCTCAAATCTTAATTGATAAAGATATAAATTCAATTTTTTAACTCTAAACTTATTTGTTTGAATTATAAATCTTACTACGTAAAAAAACTAATGTTATATAAAATATGAATAGTCGTACTTTCTTAAATTTTACAATGTTAGTGTATTATATTTTTATTATTATGTATTAAATTTATTATTTTCTTTCACTTTTAAAATACGATCCCGTGCATCGCACGGGAAAAGAAATGCTAGTATATTTAAATTCTTGAGCTTCCGAACTTCAACTCTATAAGTTACCAACAATTTCCGGAGCAATTCCCATTTAATGTTTAGCGTTATTATAAGATTATTAAAAACAACAGCTAAAGGTTGATTTAGAAAGATAATTATTACCATTAAGTATAGATTTTTCTACTATAGACATTAATAAAATAAAAAAGAAAAATAGCACTTCACCCCCTCAATAAACCAAAATTTTCACTTTCCCCCCTAAAATATTAAAAAGAGACAATCCCACTTCAAAATATACTATTTGTTGCACTTTGCCTCAAAGGTGTATTCAAGAAGTCTCCTTCCTCCTATACCAAATACACATTTGGGGCAAAGTGCAACAAATTGTCTACTTTGAAGGGGAATTGTATCTTTTCTATATTTTTTGGGGGGAAAGTGCAAGAATGATGTCCTTTTAAGGGGGTGAAGTGATATTTGCCCATAAAAATAAAAATAAAAAGAATAAAAGTATTTAATATGGGGCCAAGAGTGAAAGTAGTTACCATAAAGCCCACAACTTTTCTATCAACCAGTAAATAATACTCCGAATTAATAAAATCAAGTATATGTTTTTATTTATATATATGTCACAATTATACAATCATCATGAAAATGAAATAAGGAAATGGTCCTGAAATTCCGGTTCACCTCTATAAAGTATAAACAATTTTCGACCTTAGAATTTTAATAACAACCCAAAAAAAAGGTACATTATTCGTCCTAAAAGTGACGTTGCGAGCCACATTAAAAAATCATAAAATAAAATAAAAAAATACAAAAAGAATAAAAAAAAAAAATTAAAAAAATCCAATCATACCACATCCCTTTATTTATAAGCAACTAGGGAATTTTTATGCTTTACACTAAGCAACAAAAATTAGACACTGATTAATCAAATCAAATATGCAGCAGTAGCAGCTAGCCAGCCATAAATAATAATATAATAATTTAATAATTCTCTTTCAATACCATATCCAGAAGAACAATTCTCTACCCAATATAATTTCCTCTCTTAATTTTTTAATCTCATAATTAAATATAATTAATCCAATATACCCTCTCCTTAATCTTGATTGTCTAATCACAATCTCTCTTACATTAAAGGGTTTCCACCAGATTCCTGTAGTTCAACTCACCTGATTCACATGTAAATCTATATATATATATACACTATATATACTATATATATATACTAATACACATCACAAACCATATAAAACTGAGCTCAAATTTGGCAAGATTTAATTTCAGGTGTATTATATATATTGTACACTTATATATATCAAGAGTCAATCAAGAAGAAGGGCAACTGCCGCCATGGCAGAAGAGTTATTTCACGGCGGAGTATGTGGCGGCGGAGCAAACTGGTGGAATAATTCAACGAGAAATACGTACAGTTCATCGTCGCTGTGTTCGTCTTTGGCGAATCGCGATCTGACGACGACGAACATGAAAAGTAATACAAGATCGAGCGATGCTGACTCAGCATCGGATGGCAGCTGCAGCTCTACTGTAGTAATCCAGGATGTTCTTAAACCTAATCAAACCCTACAAATGGTGGGGATTAGTCCAGATGATCATTGGATTAATAATCAAGATTTGCTGTAAGTATATATATATATACTTTTATATAATATATATGCTTGATTAATTATATACTTTGGACTTATATACTTTGTATAGAATATTCTTATGGAAAAAAGGAAGCTGCAAGTTGATTGAAGAAACTCATATATTTTCTTCTTGTCTTGTTGCAGACATAATAATGGGAGATCAGACCAAAATTACTCTAATATCCTTGATTCAAGCATGAATTACTGGCAAGAAAACGACTGGATTTCCGCGACGAGTAATTTAACTAGCCAAGATTCGAATTCCGTGATTAACTCGTTGAATCAAACTTTTGATCAGTTAAATTCATCGAATGGATTTCCGTTGATGAACTCGGCCTCGTATAGTAGCTACGATTCGTCTCTGTTGCAAACTCTTTTTGACGAAACGGATTCGAACGCCCTTCGAACCCAACAATCTTTATTAGATAACCGGGAATTCAATTACTCGTCGTCTGCTGAAAACTATCAGGTGAATTCGAATGAATTCTTGCCTATGGAGAATCCCTCTTTCGCCAAACAACAGCAGTTATGGAATTCCACAGCTGCAGATTTGAGTACTAATGACGTTCGTTCGAGTTTTCTGCCTTCTTCGTCGCAATCTCAGTTTCTTCCGTCGTCTGTTCATTGTAAGAAACCTAATCTTCCCAGCTTCAGTGTTAAGGTACATATCTATATAATATATAGCCTTATATGAATACATATAAAAGATTTTTTATTTTATTTTTTGTTATTAATTCAGAAGTGTTGTCTAGGGTTTTTAATTTCCAATTATATTGACTTAGACGATTAATTTGTTTTGTTTTAGATTTATTTTTTTTTTGCCAATCCGCAGCATCAAAATGAAGAAGCTTCGGTGCCTAAGAAAGCGAGTAATGAACCGTCATTCAAGCGTCCACGAATCGAAACTCCATCACCATTACCAACCTTTAAGGTATAGTAGTATAATATAATTGATTAATATTAAGCTAGCTTTTTGAATGATTTACAAGGGGAACTTTACTCTTTCTCTTTCCAAGTAAAAAATCAATACTCGTGCAAGGCGAAGGATGAAAAAAAGGGTACAATTCAGCTTTTTCTTTTTTTTCGACAGGTTCGAAAAGAGAAACTTGGGGACCGAATAACTGCCCTCCAACAGTTGGTTTCACCTTTCGGAAAGGTAAAAAAAAATTATTGATCCTCCTTCAAGATTATGACACTTTCGATTCTAGGTCGTTGTAATAACACAAAATGAAGTTTCTAACGAATTACTGTTACAGACTGATACAGCATCGGTTCTCCATGAAGCTATTGAATACATCAAGTTTCTCCATGATCAAGTCAATGTACGTATCCATCACACATGAAATTAATCAGTATATACACTTCTCGATCACACTTACGGTACTAGTATTATATATTAATTATTATATTGTTTAATTTGATTTTCAGGAATTAAGTTCACCGTATTTGAAACACAGACCGTCTCCGGTTCAACGTCTACAGGTAGGACCTATAGAATTAAATTTAATTATTTCACTCATTTCTAATCAACATGTGGAATAATTGCAAAGTCCGCGAAACTGTTCATATATATTGGTGTACTATATATATGAGTAGAGATGATTGCGGTACACTTTTTCTCGTATTTTTAGAGCATGCCGAAATTACCAATAATCAATTACATATAAATGCATGTTAATTAGAGCTTGAAAATAATTAATCATGGCCCATCGATATTTTTGCTTAGGCTGAAGATAAAGAAGGGGTAATGCAAGACCTAAAAACCCGAGGTCTATGCCTTGTACCGGTAACGAGCACGTTCCCCGTCGCTCAGACCCCCGCAGATTTTTGGACGCCTACATTCGGAGGAAGCTTCAAATAATTAGACAATATATCAAATAAACCAAAAAAAAAAAAGGAAAGAAAAAAGGAAAAAAAGAAAAAAAGAGAGCTGCATTTTTGTGTAGTACTGAAAGCTTTGAGGAAAAGCAAGACAAAGTAAAAGGTGACAGCCCATCCTGGGCCATACCATGTAAGCCAAGCATATGTTATGATGATTAGGGATTGGACATATAATTAAGGATATATATATATATCTATATATAAAGTTGTAATAATCTTGGAATTACGTACTAGCTACAATTAATATTTCATTAAGAGGTGGTACTTGAGGAACAGGAACAGGTGCTAAATTCAGCTTTAGTTATTACTGAGATTCAGCTGAATTTAGCAGCTTATTTATATTATATATATATAATCTTGTTCCTGTTTCTTCATTTTATATAGGGGCATCCACTATTTTGTTATTTTATATATATGCAAAGTTGAATTCTCTATCGAAACACTGAAGATAATTGATGAGTATTGGTTAGGGTTTTGCTAAATGCTAACATTATTGTTTATGGGCATCGAGGAATTGTTTCTACCTAAAACTCCAACAAGGTTGTCTATAACTGTGGCACGCGCGCGCAAACACACATACATATGTATATATGTAAACGTGCATGGTATATAGTAAGACAAGGTAGTCTGTTGATACGCAACTTACACCTAGGATTATTGGGTCATGGGTTCGAGGCAGAAGGAATGGATCGGAATTGGGGAACCAGTAACTACCTTCCTTTATGAAAAAGAAAAACTAGCTAGTTTTAACAACAAAATCTCCATTGGCCGAGTCACACCAGAATCAAAATAAGAACAAGTGATCGTGTATCAAAAGTCTGTCGTTTTTCATCACTTTCTTTTTTTATCCGGATAGAACAATATTCTTTGATCCAAGCCATCCATATGTTCTCATTCTAATAATATTTGTTTTATTCAATTGTTCTGGTATCTAGCTCTGGCTAGATATACCTTTCACAAAGAACTCTTCTTTTTTTTTTCTCCGGACGAAATTAAGTCGTAATATACTTTGAAAAAAGTATATATATATATATATATATATATATATATTGATTCCAACGTTGTGGAGCATCCAGCTTCATTGTCACAACTCACAAGTACAGTTTTTAGTACTTTGCCCAGCAAAAAGAAGCTGTGAAAGAACATTAATTTGCTTTGCATAAAGCCTTTATGTGTATATATATAGATCCCGAGCTTCTTACATATTATTATAATTAGTGGAATAAAATTAAACAATATGTTTAATTATGAGCATATGAGTACAGAGATTGATTATTTTATAGGTATTTATTTATATACCCACCCAATTCATATTATTTAATTAGTACACCTATAAAATATTTAATATGAAAATACTATTCACTACGATTCTCATTTCTCCAATGTTATGTAAATGTCGGAGCGTCTGATATATAATATTATTAAATTTCAAGACCCATATAACATTTTCCGGCCCAAGATCATCTAACTTATATTTTATGGGCCTTAAATTAACATACCAGGCCCAAGTGTGACAAGGAAGAGCCCCATATATATATATATAATAATAATAAAATACAAATAAAACACAAAATAAATATAAATAGAAAAATAATATTCAATAATCCATTGATCCGAGAATGATCTTGAACAAAAGTATAACCAAACAAATCACCAACATCCAATTAAGTATACTAAATAAAAAAAAACACCACATTTAATTTATTCGATGAACACAAACTTAAATTCAAAAACAAAAACAAAAACAAAAACAAAAAGAAGAAGAAGAAAGTAGTATGAAATTGATGCATGTGTTGTTGTGTAGTAGGAGACAAATCGACAATAGAGAGTGATCAAGCAGCAGAAGTTTTGAGCTTCTTAGTGATGCCGGCAATGTATTTGCCTTGGTGGAAAGCTTGTGCCAGCTCAAGATCAGATGGTTGTCTGGATCCATCCCCAGCGTAAGTCCCTGCACCGTAGGGGCTCCCACCCTTGATCTCCCCCATCTCAAACATCCCCGCTCCAAATGTGTACCCTATCGGCACAAATATCATACCATGGTGCGTCAGCTGCGTGATCGCCGTCAACCTGCAATCGTAACATCAACCAATTACGGTGATTTAATATTAATAATAATACTAATACAGTAACCTCGCATAAATAATAATTTATTTGATCAGTCGTCCTTACTTAGTCAGTCAGTCAAGACGTATTAAATTACTAGTTCGATAATTTAACAATATTTCCTTTAAATTTAATAATTGAGATTATATATGGGTTGAATGAAGTAGTAGTAGTGTAGTACTTACGGAGTAGTCTCTTGACCGCCGCCTTGAGATCCGGTGCTGTAGAATATACCGGCGGGTTTTCCGGCGAGAGCCTGAGTCCTCCATAGGCCTCCGGTAGAATCGATGAAAGCTTTGAACTGAGCAGCCATCATTCCGAATCTGGTCGGGAAACCGAAGAGAATACCGTCAGCTTCGACGAGTTCGTTGGGGGTGATGATCGGAACATCGCTCTTTGGTGGGCCACCCATCTTTGAAAGAATCTCGTCGGAAAGTGTCTCCGGTACCTGCCATAGTTTAGCCTCCACTCCTTCGACGGACTCAGCTCCCTTTTTGATCTCTTTGGCCAGTCTTTCAACGTGTCCGTAAGTCGAATAGTAACTGTAATAGATAATAATATATATAAATAAATACAGGAAAAAATTAGAAGTAATCAACAAACTGGAAGAGAGATACATACACAATGTAGACTTTAGTTGCCATTGGAATGAAGGTTTTGATTGCTCTGTTTTTGTTTTTGTTTTGCTGTGAACTTGTGTTTGTGAATGAATTAAATTGGGGAAGAGATGCTACGGTATATATAGATACTTTTATTTATGGGAAGAGAAATCTTTGACTTGGATTATGTAATAATTTATTCGAATTGTGGTCATTAGTTTTCTCATTAAATCTTTCTAGGTTAATGTTGATGTCACGCTAATCGTCATTATTACTGCAATAATTGGTGATTATATTGATAATTTAGTCAAATTCTTTTTTGATCTGGAATCTTCCTTTTTTGTTTATGACAACCGAAGGGGGTGTATTATAATGAAAATTACCAGTTGTTAGGAAGAATTTTTATGAGCTGTAAAGATTATTAACCTTATTAATAAGAAAGAAAAAAGGAAATAAAAAATATTAATAACTTTGTTGTTGTTCTTGAATTGGAGATATATTATTTCAAGGTTCGCATTATCGGTTCTATATTTAGTTACCTTACTTAAGGTTAAATTTGAAACACTAATATTAATTGATATTTCCAATGTATCACTAGGGTGAAATTTGAAGGGGTTCACATTGACAATTTTCTCAAAAAAAAAAATAAATGTAGGTAATTCATAATAAATTATACTATCATTTAATTACATTTTAGTCGAACTAATAATACTACTACCCTTTGCATTACTTGTGTTTATATTTACTACTCGAATTTCACACAACGTTAAGATGATGTGTGTATGACATCATCTAAATGCAAGATTAATTTAATTATTTGAATAAGAAGAGTGTTTTGTCACTAATGATGTTTGGTAGTCGTCATCTAATTGTAAGAGGTTTTTTTTTTTTTTTTTTTTTGGAGTAAATCTAATTGTAAGAGTTGACTCGGATTAATTAGAAGGAGGTAATTAATTTTATTTTTTATATAATACTAGTGTTTGCCTCTTCTACTTGGAAATTGGAATATATACAATAGAAAATGTTGGAGTACTTGCCAATTGGAATTTGGGTACAAGATTAGGGACTGTTATTGGCTTAGCCACAACGTGACATTATTCAAACCTAACCTGCATTTTTAATACACAATTTTCTACTACTCCTTATATAATTTTATGCTGAATAATAATGCAAAGTTTTGGCATACCTTAAAGGATAATTATTTTTGGCGCCCTAATTAATTAAGTGCAATTCATAAACCAATTATATAATTAATCATGACTAATTTTGGCCGTAAAACAAGAGTTAATCTAGGAACAGTTGATTTTGAAAGCTTTTGAAATTATATTGTCTAAGTTGAGTCTAACATTTGAAACATAGCAAGATTCGATTTGTGCATGTATGATTGGAAAGATGATGAATCAACCAATGCTGGCGGCCCCCTAAACACTAATTTTAAATTTCAAACCAACAACATATTAACTATTAACTACTATATTATATTATATTAATTAGAGTTAATTAAAATCAAGCCTTGAGTTGCCAAAATTAGCCCGTGATATAGGAAGTCGTTTTCATAAATTTAGCAGTAAGCAAAATTACTGTTAGTTGCTACACCAATTACGACGTGCTTTGATTCACAGCCCCAGTTAAATAATATAAAAAAATTAATATTTCTGGACTCTTTAATTTAAAAGGCTTAAATATTAAAAAAAAAAAAAAAAAAAAAAAAAAAAAAAAAAAGAGGAAAGCGACAACATGGCTGCGCTGTCTTATAAGAAGAATGACTGATTAAAACTTAATAATTGTTTTCTTTTTGGGACAAAAATAATGACTATATTATATTGGCATTTATAACGTATCCTCATACATCACTTGTTCTTCCATGTAATCATTACGTATTCATCTCGTCATACTAATTTTTAAATGTCATTTTTTCTTTTTGTTTTTTACTAATTTGTTGGATTTTTTTTAGTCCAAGCACTAAACAAATAGTGATTAGTGATGAACAAATTTCAGCCCAGGCCCATGAAGACCGCCCGCACCAAGTTCGTGGATTTAGCCCGCCTAACCCAGCAATATAATTCTACGGGCTGGACCGGCCCGTGGTCCGTAACGTACTTTCAGTTTCTACGTTTATGGGTTTTTTTATTTTTTATTTTCTACTAATAAAATATGAAAAAAATACTTTAATAAATATATCTCTTACTTATGTAATAGGTTTAAAAATAATTTTCAAATTTGTAAACTCATTCTATAAAATTATATGATTTTGTTTTTTAAATATTTTGCCTGAGGTCTGTCAAAATAGGATAACATGGACTAAGTGTCCGGTTGGGCCGGCCCGTGAAAACAGTGGACCGGGTGGGCTGAGCCCGCGGGTCAGACGGGCCATCTTCAATGGGCCGCGGGCGGACCATTTGTTCACCACTAGTAGTGGTGTGTGTTTTTCGTAAAATATAAACTTTTTATTTTTATTTATCTCCATAATTGTAATTAATAATCCATTTGCGTTTGTAGACACGATGTATTTGAAATAAAACAATGCTCGAAAGATATAATTTATCCTGAAAAGAAAGAGAAAAAAAAGTCGTGATTTGCTTTAACTCCGAAAGTTTGCTTTAGCATATATTATAGATTGCGATCTCATCCAAATTTATCTAGTAGACGAACTACAAGAAAAAAAAACGGTTTGCCCGTAGAATTAATGAGGCGAAGTTTGAACATCTGGGTTTTTAAAAAAAATTGCTTTACTCCCAAAAAAAAAAAAAAATTAGTTTACGAAATTGGATGTGAGATAAAAAAAAAAAAAGTAAGCATTGCTTAATTAGTGTGAGCATGGTGGATGAATAATGTTGGGCTTTATGGAGGATACAATGATATAATGCTTTCGGTGCTTTCTGGTAATAATGCATATCATTATTAGTAAGAGAAGTGAATATTTATTAAAGCAATATTAAAATCAAACAAATTAGTAAGGAGATCAGAGCTCAATATTTATCATTAAAAGATAACAGCGTATGTTAGTCTAATTTAGGTGACTTCCTGGAACCTACCAAATAAATAATTAAAGACAAACAACGATTTATATATAATTAGTTAATTACATGTTGTCCGGTGTTTCAACTGATTAATGTAATCCGCCCATCGCTTTAGTAGGCCGGCAGCCACTACATACACGTCACTGTCAACCCAATACACATTTAAAATATAAATAAATAAATAAATAAATCCAAGAGAAGGAAATACAAAAGTCAAACAATTGGGAAATATTCCTGGATTCCAAAAAATAAAATATACAGAAGATGAAAATAGATCTCAATCATAGGACCAAAATCGATCTGCACCAATATGGCGTGTGTCCTTGCGTGCACACGTGTGGGGAACAACGGGCTTAAAGAATTTCACGTTGGTTTAGTTTCTAGATAAAATCTAGGATAACTGGAATTGCACAAATTGATCAACAAGACAAAGAATTTGCTCAAAAACAGATCACCTGTAGCAACATTGTGTATAGACGCGGTAACTTCGGAGAAAATTCGAGACTGGATAATTTAATAGTGCTCATGAGGCCGACGAAAATAATTAAAATTGTTGATTCGTGGGATAAAAAAACTAAACGAAAATCCTACTTATCAATCCATTCAACATTCACAGTAAAAGATACACCGACGAGAATAGCGGACCAGAGAATAAAGTTCAGAAGCCACAAATTCATCAAAAACAACTAAGTATTTCGATCAAGTCATGGGGTAGTGCAGATAGTGGTTGGCGATAGATACATTTAGCCGAATCATGAGCAAATAAAAGCAACACACAACACAATTATTATGTTACACAGTACAGATTCAGTAGCTACAATTTTACACAGCTAACTCTATCTATTAACACGATCAAGCATGGAAAGTCGTGAATTTGACTCGACTTTTACGGTATATGCCAATTTGCGGTTAAAGGGAAATGTCGATATATTATCCTCTAGCAAACGGAGATTGTATATCCAAAACTTAAATCCTCACTACTAAAATAAACAATGCACTCACATGATCACATACATGCACATGCATTAATTGACAAATCAAATACGAATACAACCAGTCCCACAAAAGAATGACTTCCGAGACAAGCTTTCGACTATTTTGAGGTAACATAAAAAACAGGAGAGGCCGCAGCCCTAGCCCGTATGTTTCGTATGATTATTGAGAATGTACAATAAAAGAACCAGATTTTCAATGTCTTTTCTTTATACAAAGATCTATTCAAGAACGACGAAAATTACAACAAAAAGAAAAAAAAAAAAACACTAACTACTTACCTCCAAGATGCAAATTTTCTTCACAGCTAACCATAAATAAATCATCACACATTTCCCCTCCTTTCTTGAATTACCTGAATCAAATTCTTCGCGTTCCGCCTCACTTTCTCATTGTCGTCCTCCAATAACCCGACACACGTCTCGAACACTCCTTCTCTAACAGCTCCCAAACACATCTTTTCACTATAACAACAAAGATACTCACGTCACAGAGCGTACTGAACGCCCCTCGAACTCCCGTTCCTCGAGATTCCTATCAGCGTATCCAAGAACCCTCTAAACCTCACCATTTCGTCACGCGCCACTTTACATTTCGCCAGCAGGCCCAAAACCTCCACAGCTCGTTCGAGGCCCGAATTCGCGTTCTGGATTAGAATGGACACAGCCCCATACCGAATTGCTCGAACACGGTTATCCGGGAAAGAGCAGAGAGTGAACAGTGCGGTGGCTGCTTCTTTCCTCTCCCTCGAGTTTCCCATCTGAAGAAGGGAAACCAAACCCGGGATTGCATCAGGGTACGACCCGATTGTGACCTTGTTGACTTCCAGCACGGCGAGGCTGGTCAACACAGTGGCCGCCACCGCGCGTGAGTCCTCCACACCGTACCGAAGGGCATAAACCACCCTCCCGACGACTCCCTCCGCCACCAGCCCCACCTTGCTGTCGTCATCCAGGCTCAAGTTGAGGAGCAGATGAAGGGCCTTCTCCTGGACCCCCGGTTCGTCCGAGTCAATACAGGTCAGAACCGCCGCGACGGCCCCGGACTCGGCGAGTCTGCGCCGCATCGCCGAGTCGCGCTTGGAGACGCGGCTGAGCTGATCGAGCGAGTTGAGTCTATCTCCCAGCTGGGACGAAGGGGAGAGCAAGAGGTGGATTAGGGTTTGTGGGTTGGGAGGGCAGGGTTGGGGTTTGGGGAAGGAGACGAGGGCATAATTGGAAATGAGACTGCGCAGGGCGTGGTTGGGAATTAGAGAAGGAGGTTCCGGTATGGGAAGTTTTGAAATTGGACAGGTACGGTGGCCGGCGTCTAGCCACCGTTGGATCGAGGCGCGATCGAAGGTGTGACCGGAGGAGAGAATAACCGGGTCGGACATTATTTCCAGAGAAATCGGGCATTTAAAATCGTCCGGTAACTGAGCCGCCATTAAATTTCTTTCCTTCCTGCGCTGAATATTTGGGGAGTGATGAGAGAGAAAATGGAGGAGAGAGAGAAAGAGAGGTTTATGAGGTTTTACCGGAGAGGGGTATATTCCGTGGTAGAGTTGTGAATTTGTGAGGGCGGAAGGATTGATATATGGTGTATGTGAGGTGGTGGAGCTCTGCCTGTGACACTGGTATTCAATGTGAATTGACTATATTGCCCCTCAAAATTTCTTTTCTTTTCTTTTCTCTTCTTTTCTTTTCCTAAAACAATTAAACAACCTTTTTAATTAATTCAATATGATCTCATACTAGTGTAGCTCTGCTTTACCATAGGTTTTTTTTTGCTTCTTTTTTTATGAAGAAAGTAGCCATAAAATAAAATTGAATTTGGTATAATCATGTCTAAAATTTTGACTAGTGATATTTATATCAAAGGGGTACTTTGGGGAATACACATTCTGTCTTTTTTTTGCAACTTTTCAAGGCTGCTTGTGAAAGAGATGATGAAACGCAACGGTTGAATAAGGAGTTATTACAGTAGTATCTAACGGATCAATTTATTTAATGTTCCATTTATTTTAAATATTATTTCATGGTTTTACTTTTTTGATATTTGCAAATTTTAAGCAATTAATTTCAGCCATTAACTTAAGTAGAAAATTTTACATGATTAATAAATTAATTGATTGCATCTCAAAATTTTAGCTCAATTTCATTAGTTTTAGATCACCAAACATGAAAAAAAGCAAATGAAAATTTTACTATACATTCTTTGACTTAAACAGTAAGTGGACCAAACGACACGTCACATCATTTCATATAATAGCCGGTTTATTCTATGCTACATTCAATATTCAGTAAATAATTGAATTAAGTTGTGCGTAAAATTATCTAATGTAGTTCTCGATGTGTAACAATCGAAGAGATCGATATAAATCGTATGAAGTCAACTATTGTAGGCTAAAAAGGTTCGATAAACACATAATTAAGAATTAATCGTACTTAGTTTCCTCGAGAGTAAGTAAAAAAAGTGGGATTAATGGAAGATTAGAGAGGGGACCCAATGAGATATTTTCCAGCTCTGACTATTGTATATGACATGACTAATTCAATTGTGTCACAATCAGCTTTGCTGCCTTGGCTCAACCTCAAGCAAACAACTCTTGTACTAAATTGTTAATTTTGAAAAAGAAATATATTTAATTTTGAAACAATTCAGTACTCAAATGACTGCATCAAAACTATTTATCTCTTTTTAAGGGATTTCTAACAATAAAAAAAAAATTATCGACCGTGGAGCAAAGTCACAGTTATCTCGTTGGAAGTACGAGGTATATTCTTCCCTGTAGACGAAGAATCTGTGTCGATCACGGTTCGTTGTGTATAAAAACCAGGTTGTTTAGGTTGAGCAAGCGCTAATTGCTCGTTTTCTAACATCACCAAAACGTTGGACATCGTAGGCCTGTCTTCATGCCGTTGTTGCACGCACAATAGCCCGATTTGGATACACCGTAACGCCGTTTCAGCAGATGCAGATTTCACCTCCACCGTTGATCCATCCAGAAAATCCATCGGCTTTTCTTCATTCCAAAGTTTCCATGCCTAAAAAAATGATGAAAAAAAATCGACTGATTTATTACCGAGAAATATGTTGAGAGCTCACTAAAGAAAACCGCAAAAGTCTCGAACTCACTCACATGTCCTAAAAGATTGAGATCATGGTCTACATGATAGAATCCTCTGTTTTTCTTGCCGCTAAGTATTTCCAAAACCAGTACCCCGAAACTAAATACGTCGGATTTAACCGAAAATAGTCCATCCACTGCATATTCAGGTGCCATATAGCCACTACACACACAAAAAAAAAAAAAATAATAATAAATAAATAAAGAAAAAAAAATTAGGAGATGTTAGAAAACTAAGAAGAGGAGGAACAATGCTTTGCTTACTATGTCCCCATTACTCTCTTCGTATTTTCTTGATTTTGATCTCCACCAAATATTCTCGCCAGACCAAAATCCGATATTTTAGGGTTCATCTCACTGTCGAGAAGAATATTGCTTGCTTTTAAATCCCTATGGATTATTCTCAACCTCGAATCCCGATGAAGGTATAGAAGCCCACGTGCAATGCCCATTATAATGTCGAATCGCGTCTCCCAGTGTAGAGATGTATGTTTTGTTTGATCTACACAATTGCAGAAATTTAGATGGGAATGCAATAATAAGTACTGCCGAATGAAACGACCTTTCGAGGACTTACTGAAAATAAACAAGTCCAAGCTCTTGTTGGGCATATACTCGTAGATCAACATTCTTTCGTCTCCTTGAATGCAACACCCGAGCAGCCTAACGAGATTTCTATGCTGCAGTTTAGACATCAGCATCACTTCATTCTTGAATTCTTTAAGGCCTTGCCCAGAATCTTTCGACAGTCTTTTAACTGCTATCTCTTTGCCACTCGAGAAAACACCCTGCATTACCAACTTCTAAGGAACGAATATCTGAAATTCGTACAATGAGATATGATGAGAGGGGTGTACCTTGTAGACTGGACCAAACCCACCTTCCCCAATTTTATTCGAAAACGAAAATTCATCGGTGGCAGCTGAAACTGTGAGAAAATCAAATAGAGGTAATCCCAGATCTTCTTCATCTCTGAAGCTTTGACGATTTTCTTGATCCGAATTATCACGTTGCTGCTCTGCCGAAACTAGTGCTGATCAAGAAGTTATTAGAAAAGGAGCCATTGATCAAACATTAAGACAACATTCAAAACAACTGACATTTCTTGTCCAAATACTAACCTGCTCTGTTCTTGGCGGCCCTTCTACGGATGAACAGCCACACGATCAGAGCCATCACCGCTAGAAACAAAGCCACGGTTACAGATGAAACCACAGCTGCTTTCTTGGATTTGTTGCTCGAGCCTTTCGAATTTGTTTGAACACAGTAACAACTAATAAAGAACAGTAGAAACCAAACTAACAGTGAACTCTGCATATTAAAACTGTGATTAGCCTTACCAAGTTCAGACAACGGCATCCGAACAAAAAGTTCTTGTCCACCTTCAGCATAAACCCTAATATCCACCAAATCACCGAACCAAAGAACACATCCAGTGGCTTCAGTCACAGCATATGCCACACACGAACAGTTCCTCAAACAAGCACCCTCACATTCATCCAAGCTCCTCGCAGTACTATTCACCTCAGAATTCGACGTATCCGGCACTTTAAGCCCGGAAAACTTCCGGAACCCCGTGGGCCCGCTACAGTTCAATGACGGGCCATTCCTAACGCACCCACCTTCCCAATCAAACCTCGCCCAATCCTGCCTCACCCGAGGCGAAAAGCCTCTCAGACAAGCACAAATTGGCGCTTTATTAAAGTCACAGACACCAAAGTTGCCACATTTGGAGTACTCATCGCACGTGTCGGCCTGCATTGTAGCTATGATGGTCCATTGGCTACGGGCCGGGCTCCACATGAGGTGGTTCACTAGCCCTGATTGGTTCACCACGAATCTTGATACGATTGATTGGTCGGTGTTCTCGAATGCATAGTACACTTTCTTGGAATCGAAAGCGAATATTGGCTTGAAAACGGTGTTTTGCTGCAGAACGGGGGCCCCACCGAACCGAACACCATCCCATGGCCCGCTTCTGAACTGAATAACCGATCCCCGCCGGAGAATTATCGAAGGCAAACCAGTGGGGTTCATTCTGTATGTATATTCCCCTGGAGAAGGATCCACAGTACTTTTCCATGATGTTAAATACCATTCTTGATTGGTTATAAGATTCCAGCCAAGTTTCATGCCGGGGATTAATGTGTCGGATGGGTAGTCAAAACTCTGCCACACATAACTGTCTGAATTGTTATCATCCGAGGCAGAGCTCATCAAAACGAGGTTCCCGTTGTCTAAAAGTTTCAAGATTGGATTTTTAACAGTTAATCTCGAGGGTGAATTAGCAGACCAGAGAGGGGTTGACTGGTTAACCCTGGAGATGATAATATTACCGGAGGGGGTGATGGAGAGGGTGCCTAATGAATCGGTTATTGCAGAGTTTCTGTTGGCCACCCAGACAAGGGTTTGTTCCGGTACATTCTTGAACCATATTCCGATGTACCGGCTGTCGGAATTCGACGGACTGAAGAAACCCAACTCGAAGGTTCCGCTTCGAGAAACGATCGTTGTCCCGTTGTCTGTTAGGGTTTGGTTTGGAGCTAGGGTATCAACTGCAATGGAGAATTCGAACAAGAATTGATGGATAATAAAGAACAAGGAGATTGTATATAACAGTTTATCGTATTTCATGATCTCAAATCACAACTGAGAACTATTAAAAGTGGGAATTGACCATTGAAGAATACAGAACAACTGATGAAGAAAAGTAGAAGCTAAACAGAGGAAATGCTAATTTACTGAACTTCCATGGACAAAAAAACAAGCCGTCTATGGAGACTTTTGCAGCATGTATGATGTCTAAGAAATGCAAAAAAATAAAAATAAAAATTCAATCTTGACTTGGAAAATGTCATCAGTTCGTTAGGAATTGGTCGGCACGAGGACTTTTGGGGGAAAAAATCTAGAAACAAAACCCTAATTGGTGACGAAACTGTTCATCGTTCATCAATTGAATTGTTATTAACGTTCTACTTCCGCTGTTTCAAACTGATTATTTATATTACGCTAAAAAAAAAAAAAAAAAAAAAACTGATTATTTATATTTGGGCAAGGCCACCACTGAGTTATGATCAAATTACGAAACTTCCTTCCTGTTTCGGTAATTCCAGCTACCCTTTTCAACTATGTATTATTTTACGAAAAAACCCCTTCAGAGATAAATTTAGGGTTGTTAAATCGGTAAAAATCAAACCAAAATTTCGGTGCACCAACATTTCATACAGTTTACTAAACTAAATATACGATTTGGTTCGGTAAATAAGCGAATTACATAACTTTTATGTAAATATATTTAAAAGAAGGGGTAACTGTAATTACCCAAATAAGAAATTTGTTTTCATAATTTGGCCAATACTCAGGGATGATCGTAATTTGGCCTTTATATTTTCTTGAACACTTTATTTTCTCTGTTTTTGACTTTTTTATCATAATATTTATTGTTATAATATAAATTGTAAAATTAGATTATATTTTTAACTCTTTATATTTTTGGATTTAAAAAAAAAAGTGAAATAGCATATAACTTTTTTATGACTTTATAGAAAAAAAATACAAGAACTCGAATTTTAATTCTTATAATGAAACCATATTTATACAATTATAATTTTAAACATAAATTTTAGTGAGTTCTAGTTTAAATATTTCTTTTGGAATAATTTTAAAGATTTTTTAAGTTATGTTCGATTTTATGTAATTTTTCATTTTATTTTGTGGAGTGTTTTTTGTTTGTTGAATGATGTTTGTGTAGAGATGTACGCTGCCAAGCTACTATGCTTGGTGATGTGCAGCAGTTGCACATTGATGTAGAACTATCCGTTTTATTACTTCTCCGACGTTTTCTTGCTCTTCGCTAACTAACAATTTTGTTAGTTGGTCGTTCACATATATTGTACAAGTGAGTTGGGCGTGATCTGCAAATTTCCGTTGCATTAGACCTGCTTACGGCCGGAATGATCTGTCAAAACGCATACCTATATATTCCCGGAAACAAAAACATAGATATAACATAATTTGCAGAATTCTTCAACAATATTTGTCGATTGCCAAAACAATTTTATGCCCGTTGCTCTTCACCGAGTGTTCAGTATTAAAAAAAAAAAATGTCGACGACAGAGGTAATTATTAATCATTGGCGTCTTTTTGTAATTAATTATCAGCTTTTCAATTTTTCCGGGTCACAGTTGAAATTGTTGTATATAGTATAATTATTATGTATCAGTCTCGTTTGACGTCGTTCCGTTTTTTGCATGCTAAGTCCTCGCCGTTAAATCCGTAAGCGTCAACCCATTAACGGAGTAACTTGTCCAGGCCATAGCCGAACCAATTCCTGGAGGCGGCCGTCTAGATCTTGGTGTGAAAAATCCAGGTTCTTTAGGCTCGGGTATTTTTATCTTGTCATTCTCTAACATCGAAACCACCTGTGACATCACCGGTCTTTCGTCGGTGATTTGTTGCACGCACAGCAGCCCAACTTGAATGCATCTAGAAACTTCTGTCTCCTCATATGCTTGTTCTAGAACTGGCTCTATCAACTCCAAATCCTTTCCATCCTTCCATAGCTTCCATGCCTGAACACAACTTAATTAATACTAGGGTTTCGTGTCGAAATTTCGAAGTGAAATAACGATTGCTAAATGTTCGTCGTTTCAATTTTATTGGTATTTTTTCAACTTTAAATATGATTTTGACCATTTTCAATATGTATTTGGCAAAATTCGAAACACCGATTTTGGTAGTCATTTGCGCTGATTTTTTAATCCTAATTGAATCATATAGATTGGATATCGGGTGCGACAGATATGCATGAATGAACGAACGCTCACTACAATTTTGATATTTTGTGTTTTTTAAGCTTTAGGATGTAACCCATTTATGCACAACTTTTTCACCCGACATCCACTCTACTGATTCTAAGTTGGTTTAGAAAGTTCACTTAAAGAACTATAAATTTGATGTTTAGAGTTTTGCCAATTCAGACTGAAAAAAGGGTTCAAATCACATTCGAAGTCGGTACAGTAACATTAAAAGTGAAACGATATTGAGCATTTCAGAAGTGAAAATCGATGTACAATTTAGGGTTTACTTACATGGCCTATAAGATTAAAATCGTGGTCGGGGTGATGAAAGCCCCAATTCTTTTGTCCGCTTATCATCTCCAATGCAAGAACACCGAAGCTGAAGATGTCGGATTTCGTCGAGTAATAGCCGTCCATCACATACTCCGGTGACATATAACCACTGCAACAATATTACAATTATTCAATTTGTAGCAATTAAAATGAATTACACAAGGTTCTCTAATTACTAATATTGTTTTTCCACTCACTGTGTGCCGATGACTCTTCTCGTAACTTCCGCATGTTCGTTTTCGGAGTTTCTTGCCAAACCGAAATCGGATATTCTCGGAACCATCGCATCGTCCAGCAGAATATTACTCGCCTTTAGGTCGCGATGAATCACTCTCAATCTCGAACCGAAATGGAGATATTCTAATGCCCTAGCTATCCCTTTAAGAATAGTTATTCGCATTTCCATTTGCAGGAGCCTCTTTTTAGCTGGATCTGCAAATAATTATACATATATATAATATGTGTGAGCCATGGAAATTAACAAGGTTAATTATATATGATGAATTAATTAGTTAATTAGTTACCGAAAAGGAATTGGTCGAGGCTCTTATTAGGCATGTACTCGTAGATGAGCATTCTTTCGTCTCGATGAATACAGCAACCCAAAAGCTTAACGAGATTACGGTGTTGAAGCTGTACAATCATGTGCACTTCATTCTTGAATTCGGCGAGCCCTTGATTCGAATGTTCCGACAGCCTCTTCACAGCTATTTTTTCTCCGGTTTTTAGTTCACCCTGGAGTGACCATATATATATACATTATATAGATATAGATAAAGATATAGATATAGACAAAGAAACATATAGATTCATTTAAGGGTGATGAAATTATTACCTGATAAACAGGACCAAACCCTCCTTCGCCGATCTTATTCGCTGCCGAAAAATTATCCGTAGCCGCAGAAACGGTCTTCATGTCGTATAACTGAACATCATCGAACATTTCGTCATTCTTACCTGCAACAAATTCCTTAATCTTAAAAGTACTTCCGAGTATACTTTAAAATTAGCTCAAGCTTTTTCAATCAAGAAATTAAATAAAATTATGATACTAGAGTTGATTCATTTTTTTTTAATTATTTCAAGTACCTTGCTCCTTTTTCTTCTTCGAATAGGATCTATATCTGCTTGTGCCGCACCATAACGCTGCTCCAAACACTACTGCCGAAAGGAGGCTGGAAATTATAATGATAATCGTCTTCTTCCTACTATGTGAAAGAGTGTCTGAAAAAGCACATGCAATTGAAAAGAGAGAGAATAATTATAATCGTATGTCACGAGTCGTAGACAAGATACGAAAAAAGAAGAAAAAAGAAAGAATATAATCGTATGCCACGAGTCGTGTACGCCATAAACATGCATGAGTTGCATGAGCGATACGTACTTGCATCCTAGATAGCGCAAACTATTGATACTTACTATATGATTAGTTCATACCGTTACACGATCGAGTGATCACTCACAACAAATAATGCTCCTAATTCAATCCTACTACATCCGTTTCAAATTAAGTATTTTATACTGATTAAATAACGTCACGACAAATAATATGCAATCATTATAGCGAAGCTCGTTCAATAATTTAATGAAGAAGATCGAGATTGTACCTAATTCGACACGTGCCATACGAATATAAAGCTCGTCCCCATCTTTATAAGAGTCCCTAATATCGACCAATTCATCCAACCACACGAGGCAAACGCTGCCATTCGCATACATATCGATGTTAGCGTAGGCCATGCAACTGCAATCCTTCAAACAAGACCCCTCGCATTTCTTCGGGCTCAATCCGGGCCGAACCGTGAAATTGTCCGGCAATTTAATCCCACTGTACTTAACAAAACCATCACCACCGCCATCACTGCAATTCAAGGCATTCCTTCTCCTGCATCCATCCGTACAATCCAACCGATTCCAATCTTGCGGCGAATTCGCTCTAAACCCCTTCAGACAATGACAGCCTGGACCGTCAGCATAGCAGATTCCGTAGGGCCCGCAAGGCCCGTATCTGTCGCAGGTGTCCTTATTCAGGGTCACCATCGGAACCCAAACCCTAGAAGTGCTTTTCCATTTCAAGAACTGTACGGATCCCACTGAACTCACCACCAGCCTCAGTAAAACCGAAAGATCCGACATTTCGAATGTGAAATAAACCTCTTCCGGGCTGTAATGGTAGACAATTTTGAACACTGGGTTGTCGTTTAAATTACTCGCACCGCTGAATCTCTGCCCGTTCCACGGACCCCATCTCGACTCGGTCACGCCGTTTTTTTGAAGAATCAACTGAGGCGAGTCGTGCGACTCAACTCGGAAAACGAAGTCACCGGAAAAGGGATCGTTCGATGTCAGCCACGATGTAAGAACCCTGTCCGTTTTGGATTTCAGGTCCCACCCGAGTTTCATTCCCGGCAGCATTGTGTCGGAAGGAGAATCGAAGCTCTGCCAAACGTAGGTGGTTTTGTTGCTGTCTGAAACAATTACGAGATTGCCTGAATCGAGGAGGATAAGTGAAGGACTGGATACAGAAGCTGCAGGCGGCGCGTTTGATGATCTGGAGAGGCAGATGGTGTTTCCTTGATCGTCGCCGATGAAGAGATCTCCACGTGAGTTCATGTGGAGTCTAACGGCGTTTCCCCGCAGGGGCTTGGCTCTGTTAGCGACCCAAACGGCCGTTAACGGTTGGATTCCGTTGTACCATATGGCCAAGTAGAGATTGGGGTCTGTCGTCGGAGAAGGGTTGAAGAAACCCAGCTGGAATCTCTGGTTGGCGGAGATTAAAGTTTCTCCGTTCATTAAGAGTTGATTAGGGCCTAATGTGTTTTTAGCGTCTGTACTAATGATGATGAAGAAGGAGATTGATAAAGAAATGTACAGGAAACAGATCTTCGTTGACCAAGAAAGACCAGCCGCCATTGAAGAGTGCAGAAAACAGAAGCAAGCGTTTGAAGAAGGAAGCAATTTTTTTTGTATAAATTTAGAGGTCGTGTGTGTATATGGTTATGGATACTTTTTTGGTGATTGGCCAGGTGGTATGAATTTCGGAGGCCGGCCAATGCAGAATAGATTTCTAATCTGCACTTATTATGGCTCAACAACTCTCTCTCTCTCTCTGTAAAAAATAGAAGAAAATTAATTATGTGCCCTAATTACATGCCGATTAGATTTATGGAAATGCATTTAACTTTTTGTAATCCTTGACAATGTAAAAGGTAGAAAGCAGTTGTTTTATTACATTGTCAAAAGCTTTAATTCATTAATTGGCTTTATAAATATTTCATGGTGCCCGGTGACTGAAAACTTTGGGTTACTACAAAAAATGGCCACCATGCTAAATTTACGACATGGTTCGTTTTAGGCACGTCGCATTTTTTTCGGAAAAAAAACCCGTTTATGTAAATCTTGTCGCAAAATTATTGAAATATTGATGATTTAGAGACGATGAACTTGTTAGAAACCATATTTATTTCAACAATTTACGATAACACTAAGCGGGTTTTAAGCAAGCTTAGTCACTTTCGATAGCTTGCATTCACGGCGTCAAATAATTTGTGCCTGAATTTTGCACTTTTTATTTTTTTTGTAATATAAAATATCGTTGTAGGATTATATAAAATATATATATTCCAAATTATTTCAGTAATACAAGAATGTAATATATTATTAATATTATGATTATCTTTTTTTTTTTTTTTCTTTAGTAAGTGGTATTTTTAATTTTATTAATAGTGAGGCTTTTCCATGGAAAGTTGTCGTTGGTAAGAAAATCATTGAAATTAAATGTATGAGTCATCGATTGGTACAATAATCAGCGTGCTTTTTGTTTCAAACAGAAAGTGCAATTAATTCTGTTCTGTCCCTTTTCCTGACAGGTAATTTATTAAGATATTATCCGATGAAAGCCGCTTTCTGTCGCAATTCACTACACAACGGTTCTCTGGGGAAACAGAATGCAAACCCTAACCGTCAATGATGACGTGTGCATACTACACCCAACGAAAAACGACCATCTTTATTCAATATTATTATATTATTTAAATATGTTATTTAACATATTTATATTCCGAAGTTAATAAATTACAAGTTTTTTTCATATACAAATTTTTTTAAGAAACAATACTCCACAGGAGTTATTAATATGATTTAATATAAGCAAAAAGAAAATTTCGACCAAGCGAGGTAGCTACATTTAATTATTTTGTCAAATTATTACTTATTTTTTTATTAGTTATTAATATGTTGTTGTAGTAAATAAGGTGAAAAAAATCCCAGTTATGATTTTAAGTGTGTTTCAATTTTCTCCCCTCCAAGTATATATGGGCTAAGCCTAAGCTCAAAATCATTGGACCAAATCAAGATTCGATAAGAGGGCCCAAATGTGTCAAGGCCCAATATTAAGTTTGTTTTATTTTAATTATGCGCGCCTCAATCCATAATTAAATTAATTCTAACTCTTTTGTTGTAAAACAACATATTTAATCTAGCCCTTTGATTTGGTGATTGTGGAGATCACCATTTCACAAGCGAACCCAAAATTATAAATTCTTCGAGTCGCCTTTCGTGCAAAAACGTGACCTGAAATAGCCTATTTAATCTAACTCTTTGATTTGGTGATTGTGGAATAGTAATAGATGAAATGAAATGTAAATAATGAGAATAGAACAGAGAAAGTAATAACAAGAGAGACAATCTGTAGAGAGAGAGAATTGTGGGGATTGGATAGGGACATAATTGACATTTTTTTGTATTCTCGAGTTACGAAGCTGACTTGAGCGTCCCAGAGGCTAAAAATTTCATGCCAAAAAAAGTTAAAATTAACTGAACAGATGTTACATTTGATTCCTAAAACTATTCCAACTTGTATAACGAACCATTTGAAAAGAATACCTAACACAAATCTTGTGGTTAAACTGTCCAACCAACCATGTCAAAAAAGGTAAAAAAAAAAATGAAGTTACAGACAAGATTGTTGGCCTTTAAAGGTCAATTCTTACAATATTACTACCGACCATCCATCATAGTGACAGTAACCTGGTTGATTGTGCACGATTCGTCCTGTTTCGGTGGCGACAAATCGTTGTCGTGGGGCCGCCTTCCTAGACAATAACCTGGATGCTTAGGCTGCGGCATCGACACGAAATCGCTGCTCAGCATTAAGACAACAGTTGACATGTTTGGTCTGTCTTCCGTGTGTTCTTGCACGCACAGCAGCCCCACTTGTATGCATCTCATTACTTCACTTGCCGAATATGTTTCGCCCGCCGCTTTGTCCAATATTTTCAGCCCTTCTCCTTCTCTGTACAGTTTCCAGGCCTGTCGAAATAAATTCCAGGTTATTATTTTTATTTATTTTTAAAACTTGATATATTGATTAATGATCATATATACTTACATATGCAAGAAGATTAAGTTGGTTATTTGTTTGATAGAATCCCCTGTTTTTCATCCCGCTCACTATCTCCAAAACGAGTACTCCGAAACTGAAAACGTCGGATTTTATCGAGAATAGCCCATCCATTGCATATTCAGGTGACATGTAACCACTGCATAGTTAACACAATGTATCAATTAATTAATTGAGAATTAAATAAATAAAATTAGTTAGTTAGTTAGTTAGTTAGTTAGTTAATTAGAAAATTAAATGAATTTTGATGATGCATTGCTTACTAAGTGCCAACTACTCTTTTGGTATTTGCTTCGGTCTGATCCCCACCGAATATTCTTGCCATGCCGAAATCCGATATTTTAGGGTTCATTTCTTTATCGAGGAGAATATTGCTTGCTTTGAGATCCCTGTGGATGATTCTGAATCTCGAGTCTTGGTGGAGATAAAGAAGCCCTCTTGCTATTCCGCATATAATGCTGAATCTCGTTCGCCAATCGAGCATCGAACTTCTATCCTTTTCTGGACAAAAATAAAACAGTGGACTCTATTAATATTAAAAACCAAACTATAGCTACATTGCAATTAATAATATTGCAAAATAGGTAGTAAACTTACTGAACAAAAACGAATCGAGGCTTTTGTTTTCCATGTACTCGTAAACCAGCATCTTCTCCTCCATATCGATGCAGCACCCGAGTAAACGTACGAGGTTTCTATGTTGTAGCCTTGCGATTAACTTCACTTCGTTCTTGAATTCGTCTATTCCCTGCCCTGAAGTTTTCGACAGCCGCTTCACCGCGACTTCGTGCCCTTCTGCTAGCACACCCTGATTAATTCAATAAAATTAATGATCAAGAATTTTATAATTAATGAGCTATTTTTGTGATCTTTGAATACCTTGTAAACACTGCCGAAACCACCTTGGCCTATTTTATTAGCATCGGAAAAATCTTCGGTGGCGATTAATAAAGTTGCGATGTCGAGTAAGGGTAAATCGAGCTCGTCTCCTTCAGTTTCGGTTGAGTAGTGGTCTCTTTTGCTTGGGATTGTTGTTGCATGTATTAGTGAGTCTGGACTTCTTTCCCTAGGACCTGTGTTTTTTGATAGCAAGAAAGTATATTAATTAATAATCATATATCAAATGAATTATTATTATTATTGTTATTACACATTGTGACTATATATGTAACAAATGCAAGACACATTGTTATTTTGCTTACCTCTGTGCTCTGTAATGTTTACTTGTGTAGTTTCTGGTTTCTCCCTCTTCCGTCCGAAGAAAACGGCTAATCCGACGAACAAAACAACCGTGCCCGAGACAATTCCGGCGACCATGATTAATTTTTTCTTGTTCTTGTTTGAATTATCTCCAGATCCTACAGCAGTTCCTGCTTGCTCTGAAAAACAATTATTTTTTCACAAAATGGATCAAAAATATAAAATTAAATTATTTGTCCAATTTGATTTTATGTGGAAAAAAATTGGAATTATTATTATTTTTTAATGTCATTTTCGATCCAACAATTATAATTCAAGAAACTGTATGGGAGTTGGTAGGGAGGCTGTGATTTAAACTATAACGAATAGGGTCGGGTGGCCCATCAAAAGGCCCAATAAGTCAATAAGGACGGCGATTAGGTGTTGGGGCCCACTTGCCGTCTGAAACAATTCCCATTGGTTTTCAAGACTATTTTCCTCAACAAATTTATTAATTAAAGTGATTTAGTTAATTATCATGTTTTTTTTTTTTCTTGTTAATTATTATCAGATATATTTTAGCAATATAATTAGAATAGATAAAAATATAAAATACATTAAAAGTATGCATGTACATATAATATGTAAAAAAATCAATTTTCTGAAAAATAAATCGATTATAATAATATATTTACCGCTGTTATATTTTTATAATAATATTTTCTCCAGTTGACTTACTTATTATTCGATTTATATTAAAATATTGGTTCTGCTTATCACGATCTAAGAAAGAAATCTCTTTCTGACAAATAAATCGAGACAAAAAAACCAAAGAATTGTAATAATAATTAATAATATCACCAACAACTATGCACCCACCTGTCCTGCTGATTATTACGTTCCTTAAAGTCTTTAATTATTAAATATTTAATCTATAAATTCTAAATATTATAATTTTATTTCAACTTCTCAAGAAAAAAAAATATAAATATTTAATCTATAATTAATTTCAGTTCCATAACTGACTGTAAATTATCCAAAAAGTTAAAAAGTTAATTAATGAGAAATTACATACATACCTAAATCAGCAGCGGGCACCCGAAGATAGAAATCCTGTCCGCCTTCCGCCGCCGCGTACTGCCTCATGTCGTAGAGATCCGCCGCCCAAACCACGCAGCCGCTCCCGCCGCCGGTGATGTTGGCGTTGGAGTAACCCATACACGTGCAGTTTCTCCGGCACAGTTCCCGACACCCGTCTAAATCCATCCGCTTGTCAACAAACGCCGTCCCACTCTCAGGCAACTTCACGTTCCTCAACGTCAAAAACCCATCGGACCCGCAGTCCAATTTACCGACCCGGATACACCCGCCCGACCCGTCTCGCAAATACCACGCCTGCGGGTTCCTCGGCTCGAACCCTTTCATGCACTTGCAAACCGGCGAAGAGTTCGTATCGCAGAGTCCGTAGGCCCCACATTCTCTGTAGTCGTCGCACTGATCTTTCGGCGCGTACCAGAATAAATTCCATATCTTGCTCGTCGGAATCCAGATGAACCGCTGCAGCGCGCCGGAATGTTTGACGAGCAGCCTCGAATAAACCGATTTGTTGTTCACGTTGAATGAATACGCGACTTCGTCGGGGTTCATCACGAATGAGAAGGAGATGAGCGGGCTCGGTTTCATCTCCGGCACGCCGCTGAATCTCAGCCCGTTCCACGGCCCGCTCCGATAATCCACCACCCGTTTGTCCGTCAGAAATATTTCCGGGAACCCATTGATGTTGAGCTTGAAACTGTAGTCTCCGGTGGACGGGTCGTCGGCGCTTTTCCACGACGTTATGTAACGATTCAGTCCCGTTTTGGCGTCCCAGCCGAGCTTCATTCCGGGGAGTAGAGTGTCAGTGGGGTGGTCGAAGCTTTGCCAGAGATAGTTCTCTGTGTTTTTGTCGTTTTCCTGTCGGAGAAC